CTCATGACAAGTCTTGAAAGAACGCTGCATAAAATTCACTGTTTTTTATCTGTAATGTTCAATGCGTTAAAATTGTTCAACTTTTTAACGAGAAAAATCTCAAGATGATGTTAAAAATTGCCCCAAACTATGTTGATTTATTTAAGATGGAAATGATTACGAAATGTCACTAATTTCTATTTAGATACATTGTATTATGAAATGGACAAAGTCCGACAATTATTTTAAGACATTTTTATATTTATACATTCTTTTTATAGATACAAATATTTAAGTAAATGTTCTGTTTTATAATAAACAGTATTAAACAACATCTACCGGCCTGAATGTCCGAGAAATTTTCATAGAAAATATTCGTCCTCCAATGAATATTTTTTTATTATAAAACAGAGCATTTACTTAAATATTTGTATCTATAAAAAGAACGTATAAACATAAAAATGTCTTAAAATAATTGTCGAACTTTGTCCATTTCATAATGTGTGACGTCATTTGTTTACATTTGGATACGCTTATATTTATTTATTTATTTATTTTTTTGCTTAAATAAAAAGCTTAACCGTAGTACCTTGTCTGTTGTTTTTAATGAAACATGCATATATATATATATATATATATATATATATATATATATATATATATATATATAAACTCTTGTGTAAATTAACTGAAACAAAACGAATAATTCCGATATTATTTACTTATTTTCGTATTTTTCTAATGAAACATGACCCAGTGTACATGTTAGTACTTCGTATGTCCATTCCACGAAGCCGTTCCTGTCAGATTAACCACAGATTCTCGACTGGATTTAAATCAAAGTTTCCGAGCCAGTCGATAGTACTTTGATTTGCTCACTGGTAAGGCTTTCCAGTGTGTTCGTGTAGCGTTACAATTTTCGTACGCTTCCTTGGAGTAACGTCCATCGTAGAGAATGGCTGTAAAACAACTAATCGACAGTCGAGACAACGAAATGACGCAATATTTTTCAAGGTCAAAGAAATTTCATCATGCACTCCGAAAATAAATCATATTACTGTACACCACTGCAAATGACCTAATCCGAGGAAAAAATAGAAATTGATTACACCCTGTCACTCCAGTGGGTCTAAAACTGGTCGTATGATGAAAGAAAGGAAACTAAAGGTTGTTTCAATTAATTTGCATAAGGGTATATATATATATATATATATATATATATATATATATATATATATATAAATCCGTGTGTGAGGGAGGGGTAAGCCTAATTGGTGATTTCTATATATTTATATACGTTACAAATTGAAATAAGCATAAGGATAAAAAACCTTTCCGGATTTTGACGTCATTTTAGGGACTTTCTTATTTGCCCAAATCTGTGAATTTGTTTTGCTCATGCTCAGTCGTGGAAAAACACGATATAAGATTCCGTCTTTTTTATCTATTATGTCGAATGTTAACATTGTTCAACTTTTAACAAGAAATATCATCAAAAAATAATGTAATGCGAAGAGGTTTAACAATTTCCGCAACATATTATTGATTTATTTAAGATGGAATGATCGATTATGACATGTCTCTAATTTGCATTTAGATACATTGGATTTATTTTTAGTTGAATTGTTCACTTATATTGCTTATGATTCATTATTGCACATAATTGAGTTACAATAAAATTTGTATTTTACATAAATACAACCTTATGAGAAATTGGCGTGGGTAAATCAATGTTCATTTTAACCCCTAATTCCCACGACATTATATAACTCTAATCTAGAGTTATAATATATATAATTTTATCTAGAGTTATAATGTCGTGGGAATTAAGGGTTAAAATGAACAGTTGATTTACCCACGCCAAGATAATGAAGGGTGATAATAAGGAGGAAACACCCGAGTAATTTTAACAAAACAAGATAAGGAACTTATTCACGAATTTACACGCTTGAAGTTTTCGGTATCTCGTTTCACGAAAATAAATAAGAATTCTTAAAATCCAGTTTTAACGTATTGTCATGAAGGCGAAATTTTTATAAAACACATTACATGATCTGGCACAAAATCCTATTCAAATTGTAACAACAGTAAAAGAATTCGTTGCTTATCGAAAGGATATATAGTTGCATACGTTCAAAAGTATACGAAGTTTGAATTACTTAGCCTTCTTAGATTGTTGCGAGAAAACTCTTTGAAGTGGCACATGTCGTTTAGAGACTGATAACATAATTGGTGAGTAATTTTACACTGGTGAGAACTTCAATGTTAGTTGTGTGGAACTGAAACGAAACCTTTCACATGACTTCAGACACTCTTTTGCTTAATTTATTTTTTCTCCTCATCTTATATCAAAATGAATTTCTCGTAGGCCCGCTACTTTTTTTTTCTCCCGGCTAACCACTCAATTTCTGTGAAAGAAAGATTTTCATTGATGCAAAAACAATTTCACATAAGCTCATAAATTCCTTTCCTCTTTCTTCTCAGCTCACTGTGAAGGCAAGGTTTTCATTGGTCCAAAGAAAATTTCACATAGGATTACGAATTCCTTTGCTTCTTCCTCAGTCCTCCGAACTTGAAGGGAGTGGATGAAAAGAGTTATTGTTTTGTAATTTCTACAGATTGGGGCGTGTCATAGATGGGGAAGGGGCTGTATCATAGAATCGTGTGGGCACGAGGCCCTTGCACCGGTCTTCAAATTTCTTGTAGAGGGACTGAAATCGTCATTTCCAAAACTATGGAATCAAAAACAGATGTCCCCAAGTTCTAATATTAAAACTGGATATTAAAATTTCTACAGAACTGTAAGAAATAATAACCCGAAAAAATTGAATAAAGTTGGAAGCTTTCGGTAACGGGAACTGAGGATTCCCAGAATCCGATAAATTACTCATCGTTTCGTTTCTCAATAGAGTCACGGTGATCTGCGGCTTCTAGTCGATCATTCCTATACATCGAAAGAAGTTTGTTTACAATAATATACACTCTATACAAGGCCCAAGAACCACTCGAGGTATAGTGTTACAGAGTAAGAGACACGGTGTATAGAGATATATGGGGAAAATAAGGGTTAACTATAGATTTAAACAGGTTAAGATTGTAGCGATCAAGGAAGTATCCTCTTGGGAGTCGGTTCCAAAAGCAGCGGTTCGTGGGAAAAAGCTGCTTGAGTGGAACTTCCATCTCACCAGTGGAATATGAAAAGAATGCGGGTGATTAGTTTGAAATTCCTGCTTGACCCCCTCTAGTTTCAGAATCAGGGTTAAAAGAGAGGTTTTATCTAAGAGACGTAAAACCACTAGAGCTTCCTGTTAGAAAACAAGCCACGTTCTTCTTTCACCTTTACGGTACACTCCAGATGTATCAGGAAAAGAAAGGCAAAAAAACAAAAAAAAAAACAAAAAAAAAACAGATTCAACAGACATGTTACATGTTAAAAGGATTTTGATAATTCACAAAGTTACTCGAGTTGCGTAGCGACAAAGTGATAAAAAATTAAAACTTTATCTTTGTATATTGAGTTCAAATACTACAATTCAATTATGGTGTATGATAGAATCTCCACGACCAATGTCGGGCTAACAAGAATTTTACAAGCAAGCACCAGAAAATGTATGATGGGCTGGTTAAATACTTAACTCAATGAGAAATAATTTGAAACATGGAGCCCACTTCTATCATAGGTTTGTTCCTTTTTTTTCCCCAATTTAGAAATGATTTCTGTCAGCAACCGATAATTTGGTTTGTTTTGTTTTAAAGCATATCAACCCAATGGGTTATTTAATGCCGACAAAATTTTTATTGCTGGTAATATTTTTTATCTATCTATCTATCTATCTATCTATATATATATATATATATATATATATATATATATATATATATATATATATATATTGGTTTGGTTTGGTTTGTTTTACGGCACATCAACTTCAATGTGTTATTTAATGCCGACAAAATTTTTATTGCTGGTAATATTTTTTATCTATCTATTTCAGTATATATTGGTATATATTGGTTTGGTTTGTTTTCTTTTACGGCATATCAACCTCAATGGGTTATTTAATGCCGATAAGATTTTTATTGCTGGTAATATTTTTTTCCAAAAAAATGTACTACTGTTAATATTTTTCTTTTTCAAAAATATACTGCTGGTAATAATGGATTGCTGGTAATATTTATTCCAAACATGAATTGCTTGTATTAAAATCTATTTTTACACTTTAATAGTGCTTTGACCCCTTCTGGGGGTTAAATATTTGGACCTGGGAACACCAGCAATTAACAGGTGGTTCCACGCTCCTCAGAACCTCTTGATCAAAGGCCTTGCTGTCGGACATAGTTCATCCTGGGTAACCAGGACGCGGATGTAGTTTATCGTCATACCCAGGACAGCCGATAATTTGGAATTGGGTGAGTCACCGTTGAAAGTCTTCTCTTAAATCAGATTTCCAGAAACCAAACGAACTGTATTTTATATTTCTGTTACCCAGAATTCCCTGACGGAAAATCCATCAGACTCATTAAAAATAAATATAAGCATTAAATGATATACAACTGTAGCAACTGCTACATCCAGTATTTTAGCGAGATGGGCATACGTAAAAATAAAAAAAAACGGAACATGCGCAAAGCAGATTTACTTGTTTCTTTCTTCATCCACAGCATGCCGTAGAGATAAGTTGTGTCGTTTACTCTCCACGGGACTACTGTATCCCAAGCTAACCACGTGTCGCATACAAGAAGAAAGTCTCTCTCTTCAAATATTAAAAATTATACAATAAAATGCTCATACATTGTTCAGTTTTGCACAAAAAATATTGTTTTGGTTTGCTTCCTGTCTGAGATAGTTTCATTTTACTACCCAGGTGTTCAGGCTAAGGTAAAATCCCGGATTTAGAATACCAATTTTAAGGGCAAGCAAACTTCCCCCTCTCCGAATAATCCCATATTTCTCTTCTTAGTTTGGAATCAGATTAAACCAAGAAAGATCATTCGAAACAGAGAAAAGTAAAACTACATACCTTCTTTATCGTTTTTTTCATCGACCACTTCCAAATAATCTTTAAAAAAAGAAAAAAAAATATTAAAATCTTATTAAAGTTAGAAAATTGAAATAAAAACAAACATAGCTACAGTAACAAACAAATTGAAAAGAAAAGAGAGAAAAAATATACTATAGAATTAGTTAACCTCACACGTCTGAACTCGATCGAGGAAATTAGAATATTGTGCACATCGACTAAAAAATAGAAACACGAGGAACGAAAATGCATACATATCAATAATATATTGACTCGGGGGAAAATCTATAGACAGATTATATTAAGTCCAAACAACCAATCCTTTTCTTTGCAGAAGGATGGTCTTCTTTATTTAATATAAATTGATTTGATAAAAATTATTTAAAAAAACATGTCAGTTTCAAAATATTGTCTATATTACTGAGATGAGGTATTATGTACACTATTTACATTATTCGGGCTATTGTCCTATTCTTTGTTGCCATATTTATTACAACCTTTCGGCCGTTGTACTCTCCGGCTTTCTTCAGTTGGTTGGAATGTCGAACTGAACCCTTTATATGGAGAGAGAAAGGAGTTCACCACCCTCTGGGGGATCAGTTTGAGATCATAGATAAACAACACCATTGGAAAATTCGTAAACTTAAGGAATCAGCACATATGCTAGGCCACAAAAATCTCCTGAGCCGACCAAGCATAGAAATGAATACAATATAGGAACCAATAATAAGGAATGCCAAAGAAAGGCGACAATAGCAACAAAAATTGCAATATGAACTCTGGTAAAAACATGCAATGATAACAGCAAAAATTGCAATATGAGCACTGGTAAAAAAAATTGCTGAAGACATTAGATTTATAATACCCAGAAATTCATACACAGATGTCTTCAAGAACACATGGCACAGTGGATAAAGGCTTTGGTTAGATTCAGTGACGGGACCCAAAAAGTGTGAGTTCAATATCCGGTTAAGGCAATGGAAAACTTGTAGAGGGGAATTAACAGGAGATAACTGATAACTGACATCCATTAAGCCTGGCACGTGGAACTAGAACATTCTACACCAGTGAGCGAAATAAAAGGTTCAGTTCGACATTCCAACCACCTGAAGAAGGCCGGAGCGTTCTTGTGCCTTGTATATAAAAAAGATAATTCTACGAAGTTAAAATATTTCATACTTACATCTACAAAAAGTTTGAATTATTTGGACTATTGTCCTCATCTTTGTCAGCATATTTATCACAACGTTTCGGCCGTTGTACAGTCCGGCCTTCTTCAGGTGGTTGGAATGTCGAACTGACAGACAGATACTGAAATGAAAGTTGTCTTGAAAGGCCACTCTTCTAGATCCTTTTGCATTAATGCAGGTATCCCCCAGGGTTCTATCCTTGCACGTACATTTTTCTAATTTTCGCCAATGACCTTCCTGATAGCATGAGTTCTCCTCTCGGTGTTTATGCTAACAACACAATTGTTTATTCCTGTCTTCATAGTAAGTTTGTGCGTTTAAAACAGTTCGAACTGGCAGCTGTTCTAAACAATGTTGTACATTCTGTTATTAACTGGAGTGGAGAATGTGTTGTTATTTTTAACACCTCCAAAACGCAAATGCTCTCTTTTAACTGTCTGGGAGAACCCCTTTTACCTTCCATCAACATGGCTGATGCTAACCCCCATGAGAGTGACTCATTGCATCTCATTGCATGGTCCGTGAATTGACTGATCCGCAACTAGGGAAATCGCCAACTTTCCTGTCAAAAAAAACTTTCGTGAGAATTTTGATTAGGTAGCAAAAGGCTGGGATAGGAAACTGCTTTTACTCACTTTCAGCCTCTCCATCACTGACAAGTAGTCGGTAAAATATCCTTATTGGGAAACAATAATAGTAGTAATACAGACTGTGTGCGTTGTACTATTTATTAACTGAGATGATGAATGTAAGTTATAATATTTTCCTGTAGTTTATTATCGATATTATGTCAATGCAATTTTAAAAGCAACATATTTACAACAAGTTAATGTTGCAATTGCTTTGTGAAAGTCTACAAAAACGTTTTTGCGACTTCTATGTATGTTTAAAATTGTGGATGTAAAATAAAGGAGAATAATAATTAAATAGCCCCACGAGAGTGACTCATTGCATCTTATCAAACTAACGTTTTCCACTGACATGTAGTGGAAAGATTGCCGTATTTTCCGGCTTACAAGACGCACTTTTTTTCCCTAAAAAACACCCTGAAAAATACCTGTGCTCCTTCCACTACGAATATAAGGCAACACGCTCAACAGGCTCAAGTAAGCTTGGAGGGTCACCTAATTGGCTTGACTCATAGGGACGTGGATTTATATGTTGAGTCATTACACTATAATCTAATTCAGCCTTTTATATGATATAACCTCAGTACTTAGCAGTTACAAGTATTTCCAAGACTATAAACCTTCCTGGAGCCAAGCCACAAGCTTAAACATGCTATAAGCGGCTGTCGCCTTTCTTGACTGGTATGTCATTGCCATAGAAACAAAATTGAACGAGTGATTAATGTAAACAATACACCAGTATGTGTCGGAGGCATGGTGAATGTGTTGTTTTATGACTTTTTTTCTTAGAAATTTCTTTTCAATATTAGGGTGCGTCTTCCAAGCCGGAAAATATGGTATATTGAATCAATTACTAGGTCTGCTGCTAGGAAAGTTGCTTCACTGTGTCGTGCTAGACAATTTTTGCGCCAGAATCTATCGTACATATTAATAAATCTACCATTCGTTCTTGCTTTGAATATTTCTGCTACATCTGGCCTGGTGCTCCTGATTAGAGATTCTTTAAAAAAATCCAAAGAAGAATCTGCAATATAATTGATCCTGACCTGGTATCTCAGCTTCAGTCATTTTCCCACCGCCGTAATATAGCTTCTCTTTGGCTTTTCAATGAATATTTTCGCTGTAATTGTTATAAATGTTCTTTATTGGTACGTAGACTTTATGTATTTAAGCGCAGTACTAAAATGGCGGCTAGGTTTCCTCGTTTTACAGTTGAAATGGTTAGATGTAACCGTAATTTCTATGCTAACAGTTTTTTTCTATCACACTTCCCGCTTGTGGAACTCTCTTGCTTCCCATTCAACATTGATCTTCAAATATTTAAAGGCAATGTCAATCGTTAGCGTATCCTTTAATCCCTGATCTTTTATTGTTCTCTCTCCTTAATAGTATTTTTTCCTCATAGTCTGGGTATCTTCTTATATCTTAGTGGCTTTATTGCCTTAGATGGGGTGAAATGATTAAAAACACGAATTTTTGAGAAAGTATACTATTGTGTCGTAAATAGGAAATGTTGACACACATATAGAAAATAAGAAGCAATTTTTTCCGGAGAATAATATGGTACACGGTTGAGGACACGGTTGATTAATGTTAAATCCTCGGTATTTACCCGAGATTTCCCTACAAGGCGGGATGTGGCACAAGGCCAGTTTTTTTATGTGGGGGTGTTCCGATTCCGTAGACTCGGGCAATAATTTCCCGTAGACCCCGTATATACGGGGTCGGGTAGCTGTATAACCTCCCCAAACGAAACTCTGTTCTTCGGCATAGGCTCGCCTGGGTTCCTCTCCGCTCAGAGGCAGAGAGTCGACAAGAAGAGTTAACTGTAATCGTCAACTCCTCTCTCTCTCTCTCTCTCTCTCAGTAAGAGAGAGTACTGTTAAAATAGTCTTAGACCAGTCCATACTGTGGGGATGTTCAGCTACTCCACAACATATATACTAATAGCGATCTAAAAAGAAAAAAAAAACTTCTTTTGACACATCAATTTTTTGCAGGTACGAATGTTAGAGTTTACTTCCATCTATAAAAATGACCTTTGCTCTGTAATAAAGAAGGATACTCAGAATACATGGACTGAACATTTGAGCAACGACGAAGTCTTAGAGAAAATGCAAACAAAAAGGACTTGACAACCGAAAGAGACAGTTAACATTTCCAGCTCATATAATGAGGAAAGAGGGCTTGGAAAATCTGATACTCACAGGACAGATCGAGGGAAAACTGGACAGAGAAAAACAACGCATAACCTGCCTAGTGAACTTGAACATGGTTTAGGAGAGATAACAAAAGGACACAATTAAGAGCTACAAAGGATAGGAAATCGTGGAGAGCTATGATCACCAACCTCCTGAAGGAACTCGGCAGATAGAAGATAGAACGTTAGACATTGTTCTGTTCTCACCTGGTTGTGTGACCGATGTGTTCATATAGGAATGCTCACAATCCACCAACTGGGATCTGAAGGGTACCTTGGGAAGTTTTGCTTTGGGGCGTGGCGGAATTAAATTGGCTGGCAAAGAAGAAGTGACTGAACTCGAAGGGCTTATTTGTTTCATTGAGATTTGAGAATTCGATCTTTCCTCTATCGTTGTCCGGGATGGGTTCGCAAATGACGGGTAGGCGGCTGGTAGGGTTGGCAGCCTTGAAAAGACAAAAAAAAAAAAAAAAAAAAAGAAAGAAAATCCTGAGATACAAATGCCAAAGTATCAAGATTACACAATTTATATTATCATTAACATTATTAAATTATTATTGATTTTTGCCTAATTATTTCTAAATAAAGTTTGCATATTGCGTGTTACTTACTATGTACGATTATTAGAGTGGGACGCATTGACAGCAAAATGATCAAATTTCAAATCAAAATTGTTTCTACATTTAAAATAGGTACCTCAAAAAATAATGAAAAAAAAAACCCAAACGTAATAAAAAGTAAGTTTTATTGTCAAAATGTTTTATGCTATTATTAAAAGGAAAGACCAAAATATTTTTTTTATTATCTTAAATTTTTTAATCCTTTCTAGCACGTTCGAAATTTTGGTTAAAAATCTCGTTTTTTTTCGTCAACGGTCGGCCTAACATTTACAACTGATGTTTTCGCGCCTTTTTTCCGGTAAAAAAAAAAAAAGAAAAAAAAAACATATTCATTTCGAAATTCTTGCAAAATTCAAATAATTCTTTGATTTTAATGAAGCTTTATTCACAAATGATTGAAATTATTTTTGAATTTTTTTTTTAGAAAATCTTGAGAAAAATATTTATTTTTACACATGTTGCCCCCGCCCCTTAATTTCATGAAATTTCGAGAAATTAAATTTTGATTGCAAAATTTGCTTCATTAGTTAAAAGCAGGAGTCCTTGGAGAATATAAATCATCATTTTTTTCACACTGTTACTCATTTACCGAAAATCTGCTCCGAATCGTAAAATTTAAAAAAAAATGCAATAAAACTGACATTTTTAATTAGAAAAGCTTTCAATTGCTTTTATAAATAAGATATATTAAAGACACTATTGTCTTACAAAACATTTTTGATGAATAATTAATATTTACAAGAATTGCCTCATTTTTTTCTAAATTTTAATTATTTTTTTAATTTTAATTATAAAAATTTATAGTTACAAATCTTTTAAATTTTTGCATTAATTTGATTGCTTTAGGTGATATTGTTATTAAGTGAAAACTATATTTCCTAATCAAAAATTGAAAAGCTTAATACAAATCATTATGCAACAAGAGATATAAAAGAATTTTTATATTTTTATATATATATAAATTATATATTATGTAACGTAACCATTTTTTGAAAGTATGGTCGACTATATACACAACGTTATCAGAAAATAAGAGCGATAACTATAGTAAATTTAAATTCAATATATCTAAAATTAGATTACGGACATTATTTTCCAACATTTTTAAGATTACTGAGTACTTAAAAATTATGTATAAAAAAGGCACTCACGCCATTTTCTTAAATTATGTTTTACAGACAAAGACTCCGTAGAACAGCAATGAAACTTTCATCGTCTCGTCAAACACGTATGGCTACTGTCAGTTAAAAACAATGCTACTATTCGCTTAAAAATATATTTCTGTGTTATTTTAAAATTAAAGTAAATAATATTAGTTTCAAATTAGATAAATTATACTTTAAATCAGGTAAATAAAGCTTCAGAAATGTATATTTTATTTTCGGAAAATTTTTTAATAAAGAGAATTACATTGCGATGGGCACTTAAAAAAAAAAAAAAAAAAGAAAAGAAAAGAAAGAAAAATCGATTCCAATCAATATAATTTCTGTTTGGAATACACCAGAGTATTTTGTTTACTGGAAATAGTAAAATGAATCCTTTAGCTTTCGATTAAAGCTAAAATGAAAACTTCAAGAAAGTTTTTCATTAAAAAAAAAAAATCATTTTAAATCTTAGGTATCGTGAATTAGTGGAGGTCGCTAATTTAAAATAGACTTACGCTACAATCACGGTTATCGGCCATAATCCGTTCTAGAAAGTCAGCCGAAAGCCGAAATGCACGAAAACCGAGGTAATATTCCCCAAAATCTAATTAAGGTTTACGGCCATATCACGTTGAAACACCAGTTCTCGTTCGATTACAGTAACATTGAAACTGCTTAGTGCCTAGATGACTGACCGCTCCGGAATAACAGATACTGTAAATATGGATGTGCGGCTGGTGCAATGGATAAAGACTCGGAACGCAAAATCAGAGAGCCGACTTCGAATTCCAGTCAGGTTCATTATATTCACTTACGTTGCAAATACCATGGGGAATGGTATGAAGCCACATTGTCTCCTCTCACCTATGGGTTAAATAATAAGACTTGTATCAGGCAATCATTATTATCCCTTCAAAATTCTTATAATCCAAAAATATTTTTCGGCTTTAAATAAAAGGTTGACAAGTCATAAAAAACAAATCAATCAAAAAAGTATTAAACCGTCCCCCCCACCACCAAAAAAAAATATTACTTTCATTATTTCCATTATTCGGACTGTTATCCTCATCTTCATTGCCATATTCATAGCGTTTCGGCCGTTGTACGCTCCGGCCTTCAATATCTGTCTATATCTCTAAGATGAGGTATTATGATTACTTACATTATTTCCATTATTCGGACTGTTATCCTCATCTTCATTGCCATATTCATAACGTTTTGGCCGTTGTAGGCTCCCGTCTTCTTCAGGTGATTGGCATTTCGAACTGAACCCTTTATTTCATCCACGGAGGTAGATTGTTCTAGTTCCACGTGCCATACCTCTTCCGAATGCCTCGGTTATTTAATTCAACTCTCCAAGTTTTTGTTCACCATAACAGTCCGAATAATATAAATAATGCAAGTAATCATAATACCTCATCTCAGAGATATAGACAGATACCAAAAATATTAACAAAAATACTTTTTATGTAGAAAATAAAAAAATATACGAATATATATAAATAGAATAAACGACATTTAACTTTATTTTACCTCATTGACAGTGAGAAGTGGGGATGTAGGAGAAGTGTTACTGTTTGGATGACCGCCCCCTCCATAAAGACATCAGGTAAATCTTTTTCTGAGATTATTTCCTTTCTTTGTCTCTCAGCTATGGGTTAAATAATAAGACTTGTATCAGAAATTCATTATTATCTCCCCAAAATTCTAAAATTTTTTTACGGATAATAATAGTTTAATGATACAAGTTTTAGTAATTAACCCATTAGCTGGAGGGGAGAAAAGATGGATTCATACCTATCCCAAGGGTATTTGTGCGTCAGTGAATATAACGGGACTGGAACACGGCTCTCCTATTAAAAAAAATCCGAGACATTGTCTATTACACCACCCGCACATCTAAGCTTACAGAATCTGGTATTTCCAAGCGGTCACCCATCAAGGTACTGACCAGGGTTGACGTTGCTTAACTTCGTAGGAGAGCCGGTGTTTACAACGTGATATAGCTGTAAAACGATTAAAATACTGGAACATAGAAGCTTACAGTACCTAGTATTCCCAAGCGGTCACCCATCTAAGTACTGACCAGGCTCGACGTGGCTTAACTTCGGCGATCGTACGGGAGCTGGTGTTTCAACGTGATGTGGCCTTAAGCCTCAGAGTGTAAATTGAAAGAAAAAAAATCATTTTCGGCATATTTTTTTGCCGAATTCTCCAAGCGATGAGACAGAGAGAGAGAGAGAGAGAGAGAGACAGAGAGAGAGAGAGATTAAGGTTAAGATTAATCTACGAGTTTTGTATCGACTTACCTTCGTTTATTTGGGCCTGAAAATACAAGAAAATAAGAATTAGTGTGAATTTGATTTTTGACTTGAAAATGAAGCAAATTGTAACATTGTGGCTGTCGAATATGAAAGAAAAGAAAAATTTCATAACGAAGAAACAGCCACAATACATCGCATTTCTAAAATACGATATACTTGACAAGTTTTTTTTTATGGTCCCAAGTCCAACAAGAAAAAAGGAAAACAAGCAGGATGTGGCAGGTTTTTTTTTTCATTGGTCCGTGAATTGACTGATCCACAACTAGGGAAATCGCCAACTTTCCTGTCAAAAAAAAAAAAAATCTTTCGTGATAATTTTGATTAGGTAGCGAAAGGCTGGAATAGGAAAGTCCTTATACTCACTTTCAGCCTCTCCATCGCTGACAAGTAGTCGGTAAAATATCCTTACTGGGAAACAATAAAAGCAGTAATACAGACTGCATGCGTTGTAGTAATAATAATATTTTCCTGTAGTTTATTATCCATATTATGTTATTGCATTTTTAAAAGCAAGGTATTTGCGAGTTAATGTTGCAATTGCGTTGTGAATGTCTGCAAAAAAGTTTTTGCAATTTCTATGTAAGTTTAACATTGTGGATGTAAAATAAAGGAGAATAATAAAATATTTAAATCTAACTAATTAACAGTCACACATGGAAATATATTAAATACGATATACTTTTCAGGGTTATTTGACGGTCAAAACTTCAGCAAAATAAGGAAAAGAAGCAGGGTGTGGCCGGGTCTTTTCGATGGTCCGTAAATTAACTAATCAGCAGTTATCGAGAAAGCAAGATTTTCTGGTAAAATATAAAATAAATAAAAAATGAAATACTCCTCCATAATTCTTTTGCGAGGTTTTTGGTTTGGTAGCGAGCAGATAGGAGTAGAAAAGTCATGTCACTCACTGCATTCTCTCCGTCACTGACAAGTAGCCGGCAACAATTTCCCTGCTCGAGATAATAAAATTGGCCAATACAAACTTCACTGCGTGGAGTCATTTATTATTATATTTATTATTTCGCGCGGTGAAATGGTGTCCTTTGGCTTTCTGTGACGGTGCGACTCTGGGGTAGTGACATGAAGGCAGCCAATGCAACCAATGAAATGGAAGGACTAATTCGAGTCACATGTCGTGATAATGCAACAAATTTTCCAAAATGAAAAATCTGAATGGGTAAGTCTTGAAAGCGAGAGTTTTTAATTGAGGGTGAAGCAGTTGGAATTTTTCTTAGTATGCAATAAAAAGTAAAAGTGGGAACAGAGAATAGATTAAAGGTTAAAAATATCAGAATTTAAATAAAGAACATATGTTTAAAGAACCAGTACTGTAACGCACAATCTCGTCCTTAGGACTTCTTGCGTAGAAGCTCTGTCTGAATTTCTGGGAGTTAGCATTCTTTACATTATTTACACACGGACTATTGCCCCCATCTTTACTACTGTCATCTCAACGTTTCAGCTGTTGGAAACACCTTCATCAGTTTGGAATCTTCAAGGAATTTATTTAACATACAGGATAGATTGTTTTCGTTCCTCTGACTGTCTAGAGATATCTCATTTTGTTCTTATTTAGTAATAATATTTAGTTATTGGTGCAATGGAAAGCGGCTCGGATTGAGGAATCGGAGAGCCGAGTTCGAATTCCAGTCGAATCCATTACATTCACTTACGTTCTAATACCCTTGAGAAAGGTATGAATCCGCTTCTTGTCCCTCCAGCTTTGGGTAAATAGCAGGACCGGGTTCTATAGCCTTAGATGGCAATTGATCTACCGCAGAAAGAAATGGAACCTACTACGAGAGTCTGTCATGTATGAGCATCTAAGTGTGTATCACGCATGGCACATAACTGACTGACTGACAGTTATCTGGCTCTCTTCTCAGTCCAAGTTGAATACAGTAGTAAATACTGTATGTTGGTCTGCAGATAGAAATTCATCTCCAGCTGCGCTGGTCAGATTCTCTGCCTCCGGGCAGAGAGGATCCTCAGACGTGGCTGTGTCGAACGGCAGACTCTCGTCTCGGGACACAGCTACCCGAGGAATTTTTGGCCGAGCCTACGGGATGGGATATCCCGCACTAAATTCGCATATCTGACCGCGTAAGATTCATTGTGGAATACACTTGACTAACTTCTAGCCGTTGACTACTTCTTCTACGCGCCGCTGGTGAATCTCATATATGTTGTTCTTGTCCCAAGTATTATCGTTCATTACCAATTATCGTGTAATTATTCTATTCAGTAACCTTCCCTAGGTTACAACACTTACCTAGATGTACGAATAACTCTTACAGAGAATGGGCACAAGACATTCGTAAATAAAAAAAAGCCAGACTTAACTGGAAAATATCTTAACTTGAATTCCCGCCATAAGCACATCGTAAAGAAAGAGAGTAGCGCTCTAATGTATTAAAATGTTGGTTCGTGAAATTGGTAACCTAATAACTGTGAGTTCAATCCTTGTGCTGTGTAGTACATACATAGTATCAGTGGAAACAGGGCGAACAATAAATGAGCAATGCTAAATAAGAACTAGACGAAATATCCCCCAAAAGGGCAGCGAAACGGAAACAAACTATCCCCGTCGATGAAATAAAGATTTCGAAATTCCCCACAAAACCTGATGAAGGCGAGTGCAACAGTCGAAACGTTTTTTTGTAAAAAATTCTGACCGAAATTTAATAAAAATTTTTAAGATGGTGTCTTAGCGGAGTTGATGTTTTATTTTTAATCATTTAACTCCAAGCAAGGCAATAAAGCCACTAAGACACAAGGGTGTTACTGAATGTAAGAGAATAGGTGAAAAATAAAAATAAAACATTAAGGAGAGAGAACAATATAATAATATGAATTAAGAAGACGGGAGATAACGATTGACATTGGAGTTAAATTTTTGAACATCAAAGGTGTTTGGAAGCAAGAAGTCGGAAGATATTTTCACAAGCAAGCAAGTGTATTATTATTATTATTATTAAGGTATTGTGCACTAGTAGACTGTGGCGTTCAATTTCGTACAAATGCCCGTGGCAAAGTTATGAACCTATATCCGCTCCTCCACCTGTGTTAAATAGCAGGGCAGACTACATTAGCTAGTCTTGACAACCAATCTAGAAGGACATGCCTGAATAATACCAAACCGTAACGAGAAACTAATATTTTTTCCACAAAAGTCATGAAAATTCGCAGATATTAAAGCAAAGGAAGTTGTGGAGAGTCATGACCTCTTATATTCTTAAGGTACATAACGCATCATTTAATGCTAACTTAGATAACACAATGATAATAATAAACATAGAAATAGCCTATTCAAGACTCAATATTCACTGAATTATCAAGGGAGGTGACTCTTAAGTATTAGTTTCAGAGTAGTCTCCCTTGATTATTTTAGTTGTAAATGTGTAATGAAAAAGTTTCGTGTTCTTTTTATCACATTTTACTTTTATTGAAGAGTCGCAGGATTGTTTCATTGTCTTTGAAATTCAACGTTTTATTTACGACTTTGTCATCAAAACAAGAGTTGACAAAAGACTTGGGTATACTTGTATACTGCTGTGGTCAATCGATTAGCCTCAGAAGTCAATTTCTACAATAGTGACTTCGAGATGCTCCAGTACTTTTGTGTGTTTGTTTGTTTGTGTGTGTGTGTGCGTGTATATATATATATATATATATATATATATATATATATACACGCATACATTATGGTACTATATATATAATTATTTAGGTACCTCGATGAGATCGCTAAAAAAAGAGCATAGCATGATGAAAAAGACGACAAACTTGACGAAAACAAAATGCTTATATTATTATTAAGAAGAAAGACCACAGTTTTTTTATTAATTATTATTTAAAATTGTTCCTTCTTTTCAGAACATTCTAAATTTTAATTAAAAAAAAACCTTGTTTCTTTTTGTATCACCGGAACTAGTAAAATAACATATACAATTTTTAGCAGGTTTTTTGTATAGCACACATTAATTTGGAAAATCTTGCAAAATAAAAATAATTGTTGGATGTTAATGAAATTTTCAGAAACTATTCACAGATGATCGAAATTATTATAAATAGGTTTTGTTTTTTTATTAAAGTCATGGCAGAATTTTTTTTATATTTATTACCCCCCCCCCGCCATAACTAATTTATGAAAACGCTAGAAATTCGATCGCATCGGGTTTAGTGATTACAATAGTTAAAAGCACAGGGCTTTGAGGAATGCAAGTCATGTTTTTTTGTATTTAATTGGATCCCACCTACCTGAAAATTAGCTCTGAATTGTAACATACAAAACTCAATGAAACAAAGATATTATTTAATTTCAAATGCTTTTATTTGCTTTTAGTTGTTTCTATGAATATGGACAATATTTTCTGAAAGTAAAAATTTTTCGATGAAAAATGAATTTAAATACAATTATTTGTTATTTCTTTAATTATAATAGATTTTTACATTTAAGTTGTTAAAATATTATAAAATTAGTTAAAAGCCGCATCGGGTTTCCTAAGTTTCCTTATGAGATCATTTTTTAGCGCGTTGTAAATTGTATCATTTTGACTAATCAGAAGATCCGCAGTAATTAAGAAATGTAATTTTGTGTTTATAATCGGGCTGTAATTATAAAGTACGGAAGACCAACGAAAATACAATTAAGTTGCGTTATTTGAGTTAAGCATTGTTCTCCGCTGTTAAGGCCTTTACTTTTGTGAAACACGTGTGGAGAAGTTAATTTGATTTTTCAATTTCAACTGAGAAGGGTACCTACAAGTATCAGTATCATCTTATGAAATTTATATGATCTTATTTTTATATTAATCTCAGTTATGACATTTTTCCATAAATGAAATATCAAAATTAATAATAAAATGAATGAAAATACAAATAACACGGTAAAATGTAATGAATGTACATAAAATTATAGTATTTTATGTACAGTTCTGATAAAATTTCATAAGAAAGGTACCTATAAGTTAATTAGATAGCTTTCTTATGAAATATGAAATTTAATCTCACTCTTAACAGTCTTATTTTAATTTCTTTATAATATATTTCCCACAAAGCATCGTAAACGTAAAGGTGAAAGCTAAGTACAAAAAAAAGTTAGAGCGCTGAAAGCTTTCTTTAAAAATAACGAGGTAAATAATTTGTTCACTTAAATCTAAATAACTTCACTTTTCGTCTTCCGTAGAACAAATTATGATCACGTAATCCGTCAATACGTCATTCAATACCTGTCAAGTGACGCGAAAGGTTATGACCTGCTCTGTTTTATTTTCTCTTTTCGGCGCAGAAGCTAAGTCAACCTCGGTTCAAAATATTTTAAATAAACATTATAATTTCTGATTTTCTTAAAATAAGTTGTGAAAAAAATGGTAATTGATTTTTAAAAGAATTTCAAAATGAGATTTTCATCTTTTTTATAAAATGGAAAAAATGGACGCCATGATCGATTATCTGTCAATTTTGCTGACTAAAAAAATCCAAGATTTGTAATGAATATTTCGGACGTGCTCGGATCGATTAAAAAATGTAAAAAAATACCCCCAAAATACTTTGATCTTTCCTCTTAATAATAACATGAACATTTAGACGATAACATTTTGTTTTCGTCAAGTTTGGCGTCTTTTTCATCATGCTATGCTCTTTTTTTAGCGATCTCATGGAGATACCTAATTATTATTTCATACTGTATTCAATAATTCTACCAATTCTGCTAGCTTAGTTCCAGTGAAATGTTTCTCTTTTCTGTTTATTAGATCCAAATGTAAAGATTAAGATTAAAGTGTAAAGATTAAGCCATCATTTAAGAAACTTGGGTACTAATTCTCCCCCCCCCCAATTAAACAACCCGACTACTGGTCAAAGTAGTTTTATTAAATATATAATATTTAGGAGTCGAAATGCTTTGGATTTAATTGACAAATCACAATAACAAATACAAAAGCGAAAAACAATCAGTTGGAGGCAAAAGTGAAAAATTGTTGAAGTGCAACTCACCTGCATTGTTGTAAACTGCACTATGGCAAATGAAATGGATAACCACACTGAGAATGGCCAGCAGGAAAAGAAATATTAACACCGTAAATATAAGCACAGCTTGTAACATGGAGGATCCACTTTGTCCGGCCCGAATTACTTCCCCTGCAACAAACATCAATTAGATACATAAGCTGAGATCACCATTCACGTAACCTAATTTCCTCGCTTTTTAAGGAGATTTTCTTTTGGATACGAAGGTAGCACTTTATTAGCTACTATATTTGTAGGGAAGCAGAATACGATGGACTCTATCTTAATAGAAACAGATTCAGGGGCCTGTGAGTATCACGTGACAGCCAGTTAATAAGTTACTTGCTATCTGGCTGACCACGGAGGACTGCACACTTCCCATGCATCCTAAAGAGGAACCGAAGAGATACTACAAAACTGTACAGTGTTTCTTTTCGGAATGTTACAACTAAGATCATATTTTTGCTCATTCCCTTCACGTATTACTTGCCTTCTGATATGGGCCTTAATTTATTTGTGAAATATATATCCCGAATGTTTATTTTTACTTATATTGATGTACTAAGATTTTATATTTCAAATTTGTGTCTGAATTCAATGGTATGTTCAACATTATTGAGTTTCAGTATTTTGTCTAATAGCTTTGTATCATGGGAGTATAATAAAAACGTCATCTATATATCTTTGGTAAGTACAGCTTTTTGGTATGATTTGTTTAAATAGACCGGATTCTAAACATTCTAGAAAAAGACAAGCAAGAACACCAATGATTGTTGACCCCATACGTAATCAGACTCCTTTTCAATAATTTTTAGAATCCTACCAATTTAAACACATCATACCAAAAATCTCTATTTACGTAAGATATATAGATGACGTTCTTTTATTATGCCTCCATGATATAAACCTATTAAACATAATAATGACACTCAATAAGGTTGAACCTACTATATATATATATATATATATATATATATATACAAGAATATGATTGGTGTATACGGAATAAATTCCAATAACCAACAATTACTATTCTTAAAAGAGTGCTCAATACAGAGTAGAGCGGATATAATTATTTATTTAAAATTTATAACATAAATATGTTATAAAATCACTACAAAAATAGACATTTTGTTTCAACACCTCTGGTGTCATATCAAGTGATGATGTTGAATGTAGATTGTAGAATAAAGGTTTTATTTTGTAAAACTGGTAACCCATAGCTGCTGACGAAGAAACAAAGGTGGTGTAAAGCCAATAGGATTTTGTAAGTGAAAACTTGGTCTCAATTTTTTTTTTTGCATTCCCTGTATCTACTGTCACTTCTGTGGCGTTAAACAGGAGCCATTACTTTTGAAGCTTTACTCTTATATATATATATACATGCGTGTGTGTGTATGTATGTGTGCGTGTGTATGTATGTGTGTGTGTGTGTGTGCGTGCGTGAATACAGTAGGAGGAAAGAAATATACGTGCATCATCAATATTTGTATACACCATGGCATAATGCTGCAAAAAAAGAAAAAAGAAAATTCAAGAAAATTTGTTATATTAATGAAATTATATGAAACTAAAAGATTTGGGAACTAAAAAGTATTTGTACAAAATTATAATATCTATTTAATACTTTGTAGTGAATCCCTTACTCAATTCAACAGCAATCAGTTTCTTCTCTGTAGGTTTTAATCAATGATTCGTAAGTTTCCATTGGTATTTTATTCCATTCTTTTTTGCATATTCTCTTTAGGTCCAGGATGTTTTTTACCGGACCTTATTTATTAACTTGAATTTTTAACCAACGCCTTTCTCCACTGTGCCATGTGTCCTTGAGGACTCTATTATCCACTGTGTAATGTGTCCTCAAGGACACATGGCACAGTGGATAAAGGCGTTGGTTAGATCTAGTGACAGGACCCAAAGAATGTGAGTTCAATACCCGGTTAAGGCAGTGGAGAACTTTCAGAGGGAAAATTAACAGGAGATAACTGATAACTGACATCCATTAAACATGGCACGTGGAACTAGAACACTCTACCCCAGTGAGCGAAATAAAGGGTTCAGTTCGATATATCAACCACCTGAAGAAGGCCGGAACGTACAACGACCGAAACGTTGTAATAAATATAGTGACGACGACGATGAGGACAATAGTCAGAATAATGTAAATAATGTACATAATACCTCATCTCAGAAATATATATATATATATATCCAATCTTGTTTTCCAATGAGGATATGAATCCAAAGACCGCTCAATGTTAGAACCGAGAAATATTATAATAATGAAAAAGTAATCCTTAAACATCTTATAAATGATGGTAATAAATTTATTCCATGGGTAAAAAGGATTACTTTTTCATATATATATATATATATATATATATATATATATATATATATATATATATATATATATATATATATATGTATGTGTGTATATGTGTGTGTGTGTGTATAAGTTATATTTAGGCAGTAAGTATTCATCCAAACTAGTTTGTTTAAGTATAGCGGACAAGGTTTGTCTGTTTAACGTTTTAATGTATTTTCCAATTTTCGAATAAAATAAAGTGTTGCATATTGGCATCGAAGTTGATAAACTGTCCGAATTTCATGCTTTTGCTGTTAATTTGGTTTGTTCAAGTGCTTTCGACGATCCTTTTCAAAAACCATGTGCTGTCTGTGTGATACTCAAGATTCTATTGGCTACATTCTGGTATTCCTTAGAAAGCTGAACGTCAAAGTGTGACCATTACGGTTAAGGGGGGTAGAGCTCATACCAAAAAGAAAGCGTTTTTTGTTTCTTTTGTTTTTAAAATACGCATGTTAAGTATTTAATTCACACTTCAAGATACAACCACCTGTTATGAAATATATTTTATTTTATACATTTTATTTAATGTAAGCTGCTTATTTTGCCTAATAATTGCTTCTAGGATTTTAAGTTTTTTCTTGCATTGATGTAGAATATTTTTGCATTATTCACTAATATTTTTATCTTGTTGATAGTTGTACTTTGGTTGTTTGTGCTGTGTTGGTCGATATGTGTGCGGATTGCGCTGAGTTTTGACTGGGGGCAAGTAAGTCTACGTGAGAGTATAGTGCATGTGCATTATTAGTATTGGAGATCTAATCACCCAGTGGGTATGAGAATTTATAAAGAATTTTTTTTCCTTTTTTTTTTTTTTTTTTTTTTTTTTTACAGAGGGCAGTTCATTTAGAAGCTATTACTATAAACGGCCCACATTAAATAAAATATCATTCACCACAGGAGACGGTATCTTGAAGAGCATATGAAATATTCAATATGTGTGTTTTTTTTTTTTCTTTTTAAATAAAAGGAAGAATGAAGAAAACAACAGAACAAAAGAAGAACATCGGATAATTTATCCGCAATTTGTATCCTAATTTACATACAAATACTTCAACGTGATGTAATGGTTAACAAGTTTGTCACGCTAGATCAATTACGACAGAGTAGTGAGTTCGATCCTCACTGGGTGGTCCATCCTTTTGCCACATCAAAGATTCGTGTAGTAAATCACTATACATACATACATACATTCACACACAAACACACACACACACACACACATATATATATATATATATAAGCAAGTGTAAATGGATATAAATCCGACAGAATGAAGAAATTTTGAAAAAACAAACAAAAATCCTTAAATGTAGTTAAATGAAAGAAATGTCGACGTCTGACGTTTCGGTTTATTTAATAAGACTTGTGTTTTTATGTCCATCGTATTTGTCATATTGAACTGAATTGTATTTTGATGAATATTGTCTTGAAAAGGTTTAATAAACCGAAACGTCAGACGTCGACATTTCTTTCATTTAACTACATTTAAGGATTTTTGTTTGTTTTTTCAAAATTTCTTCATATATATATATATATATATATATGTTGGTTATTGGAATTTATTCCGTATACACCAATCCTATACTTGGTTATATATATATATAAAACCACTACTTCCACCTATACCGTAGCGACATGTCTGACTGCAATAGGCGTCTCTTTACCTCCGCCCGTAACGAATGTAAGCGTGTCCTCAATGATGCTAAGTCACTATTTGCGGCTCGAATGAAGGAACGTATTGCATCTCGCAATTTTGGCTCCAAAGATTATTGGCGTCTCTGCAAGAGCGTATTGAACAATTGCAAACACTCTATACCTCCTTTATTCAACCAGTTCGAAGTCCTGACCTCCTCTACCGACAAGGCCGAATGCTTTGCTCGGAAATTTTCATTCAACTCTACGCGCGACTCTTCCGGTGTACCCATACCCGACTTCCCTCTTAGAACTGAGGCCATATTGAGTGGGTTAAACATAACCCCATCTTTGGTACTGGGCGTTATCTCTAATTTAGATCCCAACAAAGCTAGTGGCGGTGACGTTGATACCAGCCATTGTCTTAAAGAAATGCGCGCCTGAACTGGCGCCCGCCCTTTCGAAACTATACAACTACTGCCTCAAGGAATCTTGTTTTCCTGACTGCTGGAAGTCCTCTTCGATCGTTCCTGTCTTCAAGAACTCCGGCGACCCCTCTGACCCTTCCAACTACCGTCCTATCAGTCTCCTTCCCCTCTTCGGCAAAGTCTACGAAGCTCTAATCAATATCGGGGTAGTTAACCACCTCACATCCCATAATCTGCTCTCTGACAAGCAATATGGTTTCCGCTTTGCCCGATCTACAGCCGATGTGCTCACAGCCATCACTGAAACAGTCTACCGAACTCTCCAAAATAATGGGGAAGCCCGAGCCGTGGCACTTGACATCTCCAAAGCATTTGCTAGGGTTTGGCATGCCGGCCTTCTGCGCAAGCTCCAGGGTTATGGCATTACGTGTCGATTATATAACCTAATACAATCATTCCTGTCAAACCGAGAATTGAAGGTCGTTCTCAACGGATTCTCCTCCAGTTCCTATCCCACGAACGCAGGTGTCCCTCAAGGCTCCATCCTAGGCCCCACTCTATTCCTTATCTACATAAATGACCTTCCCGACGCCGTAACTTCCCAAGTAGGCATCTACGCGGATGACACCACAATTTATTCCTGCCTCAAAAACAAATCTAGTCTCGCTGACAAAACTCACCTTGCCGTGCGTCTCGAAAAGGACCTCCAATCGATTGTGAACTGGGGCATGAATTGGATGGTCAACTTCAACGCTTCGAAGACAAAACTGTTCTCTATTAATCACCACAGAGAGCCTTCCCTTCCTTCCATTAGAATGTCTGACGCTCAACTTCTCGAGAGCAACTCTCTGCGGCTTCTCGGTCTCACGTTGACTGCTGACCTGAGATGGAATAAATACATCGAGTCAATTGCTTCGTCCACTGCGAGGAAAGTTGGCTCCCTGAGCCGCGCTAGGAAGTTTTTCTCCCCTGAGTCGATCCTCCAGATATACAAATCCACAATTCGCCCTTGCATGGAGTATTGCTGCCATATATGGTCTGGCGCCCCTTCTATTTGCCTCGGGGTCCTTGATAGGCTCCAGAGGCGGATATGCAATATGGTTGGCCCTGCCCTGACGTCTCGTCTACAGTCACTTTCTCACAGACGCGCCGTCACCTCCCTCTGTCTGTTCTAAAAATACTTTCATGGAAATTGCTCCGAGGAGCTGCATTCGCTGGTTCCCAGACGTCATGAGTTCCAGCGCCCTACGAGGCTGGCATCCCGCTCTCACCCTCTCACTGTCGAAACTCCTAAATGTAGCCGTCTCTTCTACTCTAATAGCTTCATGTCTCGCACCTCTCGCCTGTGGAACACCCTTCCTTTCTCCTGTTTCCCTGCGAGCTATAATCTCCAGCTATTCAAGTGTAATGTCAATCGACAACTCCATTTGCCTTGATCTATCCACTACCCTCATCCTTTCTTCTATCACTCCTATCTGATCTTGCTATTTCCTGTAACCCCTTGCATCCTAGTGGCTTCCCGCCTTGCTTGGGGTGAAACGCTTAATATATATATATATATCTTTAATTCCAGAATCCCCAAAACCAACATTGAACACAATCACTTGATAAGATATCAGAAGTGTTGGAAAAAAATGGCTATTTTTGTAGTGATTTTATAACATATTTATGCTATAATTTTCGAATGAAAAATATATATATATATATATATATATATATATATATATATATATATATATATGGTGCGATGGATAAATTGTCTTTAAAATTACGGAAATATAAAAATAATGACATTTCATTCTCACAAATCTATTTATCAAAATTGTGCAAACATATCTCGAACTACTGGGGAGTAAAACTACTCGATAAAGTCGCCATTGGCTTCAACTCAAGTCGACTTCGGAATTTCCTGCAATTCTTTTGGTCGGTCTCCTTGTTTAAGTTGTTAAATGCTGCCATAATTCTTGCTTGAAAAGATGGATGGAGGCATAACGTCACTATCACTAGTGATCACTCCAAACATCTTCGTAATCACCATTAGACTCATACAACTCTTTCCGAATCCTCTGCAATGTCCTCAGATTGACACCCGAACACAGTGAAATGTTCGTTTTGGGGCTTCCGGTGCGAATGCCAAGCAGTACAGGATGCCGTCTCCAGATTTTTGGCGATGTGAATTGCGTCATGGTGCTCTATTTCTCGCAGACGGTGTCTAACTGACCCTACTATACTATGCTATACTAAAATCAAAAACAAACAACGCGCATGCGCGAAATTAAAAATATGAAATGACGACATCGCACCACGTATAGTGATTTTCCAAGCGTTGCTTAGATGTGGCACAAAGACGAAAGTATGGGGCACCGAGTGAGAATCGAACTCACTATTCAGTCGTGATTGTTCTAGCGAGGTAAGCTTGCTAATCATTCACCGCCTCGAGGTGACCCTTATAATAATACTATGTATATATGCAGATCCAGTGGTCGTGACAATATTGAAAAACAGATCTATCTATCCAGCACTGCAAAAATGTTATTGTGCAACTTGTATCTGTTGTCGCTTCCGTAAAAATAAACAAGAGGCATAACTTTCAAAACATTCTTCTTTATACATACATTATATATATATATATATATATATATATATATATATATATATATATATATATATATATATTCTTATTCTTTTTAATGGCATGCCGGGTCGGACTGAAGGATTGAGGAGCCGAGTTCGAATTCCAGTCAAATCCATTGCATTCACATGGTAATATCCTTGGGAAACGTATGAATCCTCTTTTTTCCCCCCAGTTATGGGTAAATAGTAGGACAAAACAGGTTCTATAGCCTTGGATGGCAACTGGTCTACGCAGAAAGAAATGGAAACCTATTGCGGGAAAAAATCTGCCTCGTCAGTCATGTATCGAAAGACACATGATCGCCTAAGCGCGTATCACGCATGGCACATAACTGATATATACAGTAGCGGCCATAATATAAGGAACGGAAACAACAAAGACATAAATATGTGTATTACTTCAACGCTCAGAAAAGAAACCCGAAAAACCAGGATCACCTATGGGAGTTATTGAAAGGCGAATGGTGGGGGATTACTGCTGATTTTTGCAAGAAATTAATTAGATCATGTGGTCGACGATGCAGAGAAATCATTGAAAATAAGGGGATGTTTATCAAATATTAAATTTTGTTGATATTTTGTTCACAATCAATTATTAACAAGATCGTTCCTTAACTTTTGTCCAGTAGTTTATTTCCTTTGTTCCATTTAATCTTTAAAAAAAAAAAAACTATTATGTAAATTTTTGTAACTTTGTATAATAAAACTTTATGCATTACACCCTAATCTTTATTCGGTAAAAATTTCATTGCTAATCATGCATTACTTTTTAAGTAATACACATATTTATGTCTTTGTTGTTTCGGTTCCTTATATTATGGTCGCTACTATATATATATATATATATATATATATATATATATATATATAATTACAATACATTCATATATATTGTTTAAGAGTTCTATTTTTAATGATATGTCTCTTCATGTCGTAGACGTTCATTACTCCGGTGTTTTTTGTTCATTATTTTTGAACTGGCATGCAGATTGGAATTCAGTGTTTTGCATGTTTTTTTAGAGTGATTACCACCCAAAGCTGGAGAGCTCAGTCTAACCTAGTATTTAATCTATTATCTGGCGAGAGGAGAGACAAGTTCATACCTTTTCCAAGTGCATTAGTGCGAAAGAATAGCCCGAAAATCGAACTCAATTTTGCTGATATCCCTTACACTTCCCGCATATTTTATTCTATAATTAAGCGTAAAGCAAAGCATTTTTATTCTCTAATTAAGTGTCAAAAAAAGATTTTTTTAATGATTCCTTAACTGAAGAGTTTGAAATGACTGACAAAAGCAGTTGGTGTGTATCTGCGTGTGTGTACTCCTCTATCACGGCCGAAATATAGGTCTAGTTCAAGGGTCAAAATAATAGACAAGAGAACTTAAACTGGAAAGTGATCCCCGAAAACTTAATTATTGACCTCACATTGCTTAACCATTAAGGAAATTTGATTGTTTCCTGAGTATTTTAAAACATACAACCGGTCAGTTTATCACTGACTGGACAGCTTCCAGTCCACGTAGGCGTTAACAAAAACTGGAAAAAGATCGTTGCACGTTCAACAAGGGAAGGTGAAATATCGCCGCATCGAATAAAGAAAACATTAATTCTGTTTTTTTTTGTTTTTTATTTTTTTTACATCTCTGACTGCAGACTCTCTTCGACGGTACCCCTTACTACTCACAATGAACGGCTTGTCATTCGCCGATGTTTGAATGTGACCTGGTCATATAACCCAACTACCGGAATCCACTACCATCCAGTCAAGTAGCACTTAATCTCTAAAATTTTATTTTATTTATTTTGCCTACATCTGAACAAGAAGTGATTACTTAAAAATTTCAAATCTAGTGTTGGTTATTATACAAAGACCAATGGCTTCATACCCAGATAAAAATCATTTACAGTACATGTATCTATGCGGATGTTTTAAGCCAATCTAGCTGGACAATCTTTCGCTTACAACCTGTCCTTGGACTGAAGAGCTAGGCTTGTTGCTATAAACTGGCTCAAAATAAGTACTATAATTCGTAACGGAAAATATTTAGTTTTAAATTTCAAGAAAAATATAAAAGGAAAAATGTGTTTTACTTGATGGTGAAATCTTGACTAAAAGCGACGTTTTTCTGCTTTGGGTTCCTGCTTTGTTGCGTGAAGTGCACACATAAGTGCCAGCATCTTTAAAACTGACATTTTCCAGAATGACCGGTTTCATGGCACTACGAGTCCATTGGCTTCCAACCTTGGTCCATGTTAGATTGGTCTCAGGAGATGCTTCGCCTTGACAAAGCAGTACAACCCTGTCACCTTGCCTTGCTTCGGACGGAATGACAAAGACACTCACATTAGACAAATCTGGAAAGAGAGAAAAGATTCATTATTATTTCACTGGTTAAGAGTTTTTTGACAGTGTCACTTCTTGAAAGGGATTTGAGAGACAATTCTATTCATCAAGAAGTTGAGTTTTCAATAAATCTCCAGAAAAGGCTTAATTACGTTTCTTTCGTTCTTCATAGAATTTAAATACGTTTCTTCATTTCTTTCTTTCTTTCTTTCTTTCTTTCTAGAAATTTACTTTCGTTTCTTCCTATCTTCCTTCATATAATTTAATGACGTTTCTTTCTTTTTTCTTTCTTCATAGAATTTAATAGTTTCTTTCTTTTTTCCTTCCTTTGTAGAATTTAATTAATTTTTTTTTTGCCTTCCTATAATTTTTAACTAACAACTGTATGTCTCCCTTCTCGTTCTATTCAATGGATTACATTACGAATCATTTTATAGTAACTGGAGTTTCCTAATTTTTCACGTTTAAATGTTGGTTTTTACTTTATTTTGGTAATGCCATTTAAATCTCGTTTCGTAAAATACATCTATTGGATTCTTCAGTACACATCACCAGTGATGTTTCTAGCCGAGGTTCATTAGGGGTTTCGGGTCTTTCAACATCATGCCTCCTCTCCACGGTGACCCAGTGTACTCGACTTGTGTACCTTCCGTCAGCTACAACTTTTTCCATCTCCCAAAGTGCCATACGACTCTTCTTGACAATTGTCCAATCTCGGATGACTTCCGGTTCCCCAGCAGTGTACGCTCTTCCATAAAAAAGGAAGGAAACACAGCCACAATTTCTATCTGATCAGAAATATGGCGGCGTGTTTGGCTTGAAGTGGTAAGTACTGATTTGATTCCACCCTCCCCTCGGGACACACACAGAGAGAGAGAGAGAGAGAGAGAGAGAGAGAGAGAGAGAGACGCACTCAAATATCACATTCTGCTTACACTTATCGCCATTTTTATTCATGTTAATCATCTGGCGAATGAAAAAAAGTTTCCTTTTCCTCCTCCCCACATTTTCTCGATCCTCCACCAATCTTTTTTCTTTCATTCGTAGAATTTAATTAAGTTTTTTTCTGCCTTCCTATAATTTTTAACTAACAACTGTATGTCACCCTTCTCGTTCTATTCAATGGCTTACATTACGGATCATTTTATAGTAACTGGAGATTCCTAATTTTTCACATTTAAATGCTGGTTATTACTTTATTTTGGTAATGTAATTTAAATCTCAAATAAACAAAAAATAAGCAGACATGTGGACATGCTTTTATCTGATCATAACGAATTATTCTGGTAAGGCGCGGGATTTAAAATGTTATAACACAATCAACTGCAAGGGCCACAAAGAGTTTTAAAATTATCTTAATGGATAATATTTTATTTTTTGATTTCAGTGTCACACCAGATCATGAAAGAAGTCAGGCTGAGGTGAGAGAAAACCTCCCCGAAAAAAAACCCCCAAAAACAAAAAAACAAAAAACAAACGCAAGATAGGTAGATATATAAACATCCACCCCTAGAGGGTAGACAGTCTGATACACCCAAACGAGAATATAGGGTTCAGGGCCTCAACCTTATTGGACTACGGTAATTAGCAAAGTCCGGAATTGAATAAAATGGTACGAATGAGAGATTCAGTAACGTATCATAATGACGTTCTTTGCAGGGAATAACTCCAGAACACTTGCCCTTCCCAAATTTATAGACAAAAGCACACAAATGCATGCTGGGATTTTTTCCTAACCAATAAAATAGACCGGTTCTTTGGTTTTATATGACTCAGTTTAGATCTACCCAGTAAGACGGTTCGCTGCCGGCGCACGGCTGGCTTGTCGAACTCAAAGCTTTCGAGCATAGAGGAACTCAGGCAAGGCTGTTAAACCTTCCTGGAGCCGAGCCACAAGCTTAAATAGGCTCTGTTTACTAGCAGCGGCGGGAGCTTTTCTGCTCTTGACTAGTATGTCATTGCCATACAAACAAAATCGGACAAGTGATTAATGTAAATAATACGTGGCGCCAGTATGAGGGACGCATGGTGAATGTGACTTTTTTTTCTTAGAAATTTCTTTCCGATATTAGGGTGCGTCTTCCAAGATGGAAAATACAGTAATTCAAAGAGTAAGAATAAAATTTAAAAAAGACTTACATTGTACATAAATATGTATGTAAGCTTGCGATGACCAATGTTCTGATTTGTTACTGTGGGCCAGGCATTGAATCTTCCAACCATCTTGTCTACGGGATGCAACAAAATACATCCGCGCTTTAGTTTGGTCGACTTGGTTTATTTTTCCATACTCTTTGGATACATTGAAATGAAACGATTCCATCGTTACGTTTCTCCATTGGAGATTCACATCTGGTGCTGGCTTTCCATTCGCTGAACAAGTCACAACAACATCTTTGCCTTCCGTTACGTAGAGATCACGATCAATCAATTGCGGTTCAGTTGTAATGGCAGCAGTTGAGGCCGGAACTTTAAAAAGAAAAAAAGTTTCGTCATTATTCACTCGCAATACACGAGAAAATTTCACGATTTTCCTAATTGAATTTTCTGATGAATCTCAAGAATTATTTGAACTTAATAACTATAACAAAATATTGCAATAACAATCATAAGTATGAAGTAAGGATTGAAAAAAGCTCTTTGATATTTCTCCGACTATAAAATAACATTGGAAATTCGTCAAAAGTAACATTATAACAACTATCCTATTACAAATCTACTATCAGCCAATACCTCATAAATACTGGGCTATTCCGTTTTGATCGCGTGGAAAGACGGAAAAGACATATCTGAGACGCTACTTAGTTTCAGCGAGAAAAAGAAAAAAGAGAAAAGAAAATGAAACCCCCTTCTAATATGTCCTAAATGATGGACTGTCCAGTCATGATCGTGAGGAAAGACGGAAAAGGCATATCAGAGACGCTACTTAGATTCAGTGGGAAAAAGAAAAGAAAAAGAAGAGGAAATGAAACCCCCTTCTAATATGTCCTAAATGATGGACTGTCCAGTCTTGATCGTGAGGTAAGACAGAAAAGACATATCAGAAATTCGTTTGATTCCATCGAAAGAAAGAAAACAAAATTCAAACAGGAAACTAGTTATAACAATTTTCACGGTTCCTACCAGTTATAAAGTTTTTCACAGATACTATAAATTATAAGTTACAACTAGTTATAATTAGTAGTACACCTGAAAACTTATAACATTTTCACGGTTACTACTAGTTATAGCAGTTTTCACGGGTACTACTAATTCTGACTGTTTTCACGGGTACTACCAATTATCGCAGTTTTCACGGGCACTACTAAGTATAGCAGTTTTCACGGGTACTACTAATTATAGCAGTTTTCACGGGTACTACTAATTATAGCAGTTTTCACTTATGACAGTTATCACGGCTACTACAAGTTATAACAGTTTTCACGGGTACTACTAATTATAGCAGTTTTCACGGTTACTAGTAGTTATAACAATAATATAATAATTATTAATAACTTTGTAGCCATTTTGTCTGACATTGATTTTCACAATAATCTTATGGATTAAAGCAATGCTTCATGAATTTTGTGACCTAGGAATAGTGAGTTCAATCCCAGAGCCGGCCAGTGTGTACTTGGACTCAGTGGAAACAAGCGAACAGGTAATTTAGAAGTACTAAAAATATATCCCCACAGATGGCAGTGAATGATCATAGCTGTCCACAAGTATTTCCATGCTAACTGTTCCGATGACATGGAATCTCGACTTCACGAATTTACGTGTCATGCTAGATTGACAAGTTAGGTCTCATAATTTGACGGTTAAAATTGCTAGCTGTAACCGCAAGTTCTATGTTAATAGTTTATTCTCCCACACTTTTCGCTTGTAGAACTCTCTCCTCCGCTTCTTGCTTACCTGTCAACTACGACCTTCTAAAATTTAAAAGCAACACCAATCGTGATCATCTTATCTCCTGCTCTGTTATTGCCCTCTTTCTTTCAATCTCAGTAGCTGCTTGCGTCATAGTATAATTTGTCACCTTGCTTGGGATGAAATGATTAAAAAGAAAGAAAAAATGGGGGAGGCTCTGAGTAAAGTTTTTTTTTTTATTTATTTATTTTTGTTATTTCGCTTACTTATTATTTAATCATGCATTTACACAAGCTTCTTAAGTGGGCTACAGAAGGTTTTCTCTTTAATACTCTTGCCCTCAGTATGCCCTGTGAGTGTTAAATTCTCCAAGCCCACTTTCCTCATTATGCGCCCCCCCCAGAGATTTCTGCTGTCTCGGATTCTAAGTAGTCCCTTTTGTTTCTATTTTCTTTAAAACCTCCTTATTGCTCACATGATCAGTCTATGGTATTCTCAGCATCATTTTGTCGAAGCATATTCCTGCTGCCTCAGGTCTCTTCTTCATCTCTGAGGAAACTGTCAAGCATTCCATGCTAAATGGGCAGATCGATATGTCATATGGCATCTAGATCGAAACTTTCATACGGATGTCATACATTGCACCTGACTCGTTTAGAAATATCTAAACTGTCAGCTGTATACAACTGCTTTCTCAAATGAATGGTTAAAAATGCCTTTAAGCGAATTAAATATGTAACACTGAGCGAGGACCAGAATTCTTCGAGCCTTGTGGACTGGCGCTACAGAATCACAAAGAATTGTACCAATTAACAGAAACCAAATCACTTGAGGACTTTCAACAACTATGTAGCTCAAAGATAGAATAATGACATAATCAAAATGTTTGCGTTCCACACGACTTCAAACAAAAAGTTAGGAAGGAAACCTTCATCAATAATAGAACGAGCGATAACCGTTATTAGACTCGAGCAATCTATTTTCCTGAGAAATTGTTTTAATTGAAATATTTTATAAATTTCAACCGAAAGTGGCACTGGCTGCTTCGTCACTGATTGCCGAATGTTTCCTTATAAGAAAACGGCTAATATTTCAAATACTGTATTACATGAGACAGTTCTCAACATTTTTTTTTTTTTTTTGTTGTTTCTTTTCTCCTTTTAGTTTTCTTTCGCTTTGTTTCATCCCGGAAGCTGTCATAAAAGTTTCTTGATAAAAAATAAAATAAAATAAACGTCTACAAATCCATTCCTTTTTACGAAAAAAAAAAATGTTTACTCAATTTTGAATGCAATCGGATTATTTTCGAATTGTTTCTTCAAGAAATTGTAGACATCGATTTTTTTTTAAGTTTGAATTAAAAAATAAAATTAAAAAAAAACTGTTTACATTGTTGGAACAGTTGTCCTCATCTTCGTTGCCATATACACGGCGTTTCGGCCGTTGTACGCCTTGGCCTTCTTCAGGGGGGTCGAACTGAACACTTTATTTCGGCCACCGAAGTAGATTGTATTAGTTTTCCTGATGTCTCAGTATCAATTATCTCACTTTTAACTCAACTCTCCAAGTTGTTGTCGTTTTTTTTTTGTTTTTTGTACCTCTGTCTTGAACTCACAACTCTTTGGGTCAAATCATTGGATTAAACCAACGCTTTTACCCACTGGGCCATGTGTCTTTGACGTAAAGTGTTAAGCGATAAAGAATTTAACCCAGTCTTCTGTGCCTTTCGCTAATTAAAATACAATCCTATCTTTGGACAATACGAGAATTCCATGGGCGGAAATTGAAAATTATTTACCCCCCACCCCAAACAGACCAATTAAAATATTCTATGGCGCGGAATGTGGATCCTTACATTCAAAATAAATGAACAGCTAGTTAATGTTGTTTTAGAAGGTTTGTTTTCTTTGGTTTACAAATATAAACGTGCATCCCTGTGAGACAGAGTTCGTATCTCGGGGTACGTTGGGAGGAAATAAGAGAGGGAAAGAGAGAAAGGCGGAGGAGAGAGAGTCCTCCTTTGTAGTCGTCCTTATTATTTCTGTGTTGATTAGATGAGTGAACCAGTCTGCCCCGCTTTCTGGAAAATGGATAGCAAGAACCGACCCCAAAGCCCTCGTTTGCTGGGTTTATATTGTGGTTTGTTTTGTTTTATGGCATATCAACCTCAATGGTTTATTTAATACCGACAAGATTTTTATTGCTGGTAATATTTTTTTTTATCTATCTATCTATCTATCTATCTATCTATCTATCTATCTATCTATCTAGGTCTCTCCATATCTATCTATCTATCTATCTATCTATCTCTTGGTCTCTCCATATCTATCTATCTATCTATCTATCTTGGTCTCTCCCATCATCTATCTATCTATCTATCTATCTATCTTGGTCTCTCCACATCTATCTATCTCTATCCATCTATCTTGGTCTCTTCCACATCCATCTATCTATCTATCCATCTATCTATCTATCTATCCATCCATCTATCTTGGACTCTTCACATCCATCTATCTATCCATCTATCTATCTTGGTCTCTTCACATCCATCCATCTATCCATCTATCTATCCATCCATCTATCTATCTCTCTTTGTCTCTTCATATCTATCTATCTATCTATTTATCCATCTATCCATTCATCCATCTATCTATCTATCCATCTATCTATCTTGGTCTCTTCCATCCATCTATCCATCCATCCATCCATCTATCATCCATCTATCTATCTTGGTCTCCATATCCATCCATCTATCTATCTATCTATCTATCTATCTATCTATCTATCTATCTATCTTGGTCTCTCCATCTATCTATCTATCTATCTATCTATCTATCTATCTATCTATCTATCTATCTTGGTCTCTCCATATCTATCTATCTATCTATCTATCTATCTATCTATCTATCTATCTATCTATCTCTCTTGGTCTCTCCATATCTATCTATCTATCTCTCTTGGTCTCTCCATATCTATCTATCTCTCTTGGTCTCTCCATATCTATCTATCTATCTATCTATCTATCTATCTATCTATCTATCTATCGGTTTGGTTTGGTTTGTTTTACGGCATATCAACCTCAATGGGTTATTTAATGCCGACAAGATTTTTATTGCTGTTTTGTTGCTAATATTTTTCAAAAATGAATTGCTGGTAATAATATTTTCCTCAAAATTCATTGCTGGTAATAATTTTTTACAAAAATGTATTTCTGGTATTAATATCTATTTTTTACACTTTCATAATGTTTTGACCCCAGTTTGTGGGTTGACTATTTGCACATGGCAGCGACCCTAAGACGCTACCACCCTGGGTCAGGCTGCAGCTGCGAGCACCAGCAATTAAGAGGTGGTTCCACGCTCCTCAAAAACTCCTGGACGTGGATGTAGTTTATCGTCATACCCAGGACACCTCATTTGCGTGGGGTCTTACCTCACTGCAGAGGTGCAGTCGGCTTATTTTGGTGCATCAACCGACAGGGAAGGTTTATATTGTGGTCAGTAGGTGGTTGGGGAGTTCGGTGAGTGCACTAAGGATCGCCTTTCTCTTTGGTACAGGATTTTTGATCTTTTGTTTTCCTTAACCAAGTATCTGGTTTCAGAAACTAAGTTAGTCGATTGACTTGTCCTTAAGAATGTTTGAGTTAATGTTAATTATTTGTTAAGGCAATAAGTAGGTTAACCTTTTCAGGGATTTAAAAAAATATATATATATATATATATATATATATATATATATATATATATATATATATATATATATGAAAAAAATTTTGAAAAAACAAACAAAAAATCCTTAAATGTAGTTAAAATGAAAGAAATGTCGACGTCTGACGTTTCGGTTTAATAAACTTTTTCAAGACAATATTCATTAAAATACAATTCAGTTCAATTTAACAAAGACGATGGACATAAAAACACAAGTCTTATTCAAAAATTTGTTTTGTTTTGTTTGTTTTTTCAAAATTTTTTTTCTTCATTCTGTCGGATTTATATCCATTTACACTTGCTTATATATATATATATATATATATATATATATATATATATATATATATATATATATATTTATATTTTTTAAACTTTGCCTAATATTACAGTTCGGTATCTGTCTATATTTCTGAGATGAGGTATTGTGTACACTATTTACATTATTCGGACTATTGGCCTCATCTTTGTCGCCATATTTATTACAACGTTTCGGCCGTTGAATGCTCCGGCTTTCTTCAGGTGGTTGGAATGTCGAACTGAACCCTTTATTTCGCTTTATTGGGAACCAGTAATAAGGAGTGCCAGAGAAAAAAACAATAACAACAACAAAAATTGCAATATGAGCTCTGGTAAAAACATAATATGATAACAGCAAAAATTGCAATATGAGTACTGATAAAAAACGGATGCTGAAGACATTAGGTTTATAATACCCAGAAATTCATACACAGATGTTCTCAAGGACACATGGCACAGTGGATAAAGGCGTTGGTTAGATCCAGTGACAGGACCAAAAGAGTGTGATTTCAATACCCGGTTAAGCCAGTGGAGAACTTGGAGAGGGGAATTAACAGGAGATAACTGACACCCATTAGAACTAGAAGCAGTCTACCTCAGTGAGTGAAATAAAGGGTTCAGTTCGACATTTCAACCACCTGAAGAAGGCCGGAGGGTACAACGGCCGAAACATTGTAATAAAAATGGTGACGAAGATGACTCCGAATAATGTAAATAGTGTACTACAGTTCGATTAAGAATTGCTCTCTGTAAACAAAGATGATATTTTGTTGATTTAAATTATGTCTTTCTAAAGTTCTCCAAACGACCAAAAGCGAAGAGTTATTTAAACTTTAGAAAAACAAACATTTGCGAACCATTGAAAGAGGAGAAAATATTAAAAAAAAAAAAATCAATAAACTTGATAATAAAAAAAAATCTATACTTGCTTCGGTCTCTTTCGACCTTTTTTTTTCTTGTCATGGTAAAAAAAAATGCGCTTACTCATGTTCCATTACGAGGGAGACAGACGTGGATTCAACCCGTTCGAACTGGTTTGCGTAAATCGTTTACTAAAATAAACGAAACAAGTTACTGGATTTAACATTTTAAAATATTCCCTTCTCTGTTCTCAGTTGCAACAATTTTTCAACGCATAACAGCTTTTTTTTCTGAAATTAGCAAGACTAGTGCCCAGCTCAGAACTGAAAACATTTTTATGCAAAGTATTTTTATAGGCATCAATATTCAGAGAACTTAAAACGATTACTTGGTTACTTATTCTACCGCATCATTTTACTTACAATTAGTGGCACAAGTCATAACATTATTTAAACAAATTAACCATAAATAATCAATAGATCCTTTTTAGAGCCATCTGTTACTTATATTATTACCAACTACAACTATTTTTACATTTAAATAAGTAGCGATGTATTCCTTCTAATTTCATTTTTAATTTTTAATATGTTCAACACAATTACATAGCCACATACATGCCATATTAAAACACACATGAACTTTATTTTCTAACCAATAACAGACAATATTACAAAGATGCCTAAGAGATTCCATAATACAACACACACCGTTGAAATCAAAGTTTCTGCTAGTTCGAAATTAACATCACCATGTCAAATATTTGACTAATTAGAGAAAACTAAAACCCTATTTTTCTGGGACCTACTTTCAGGAAAACGTTTCTTATAAACAACCACAGATTTCGACTTTCAACGATCATAGAAACGGCTGTCTTCAAACCGAGAACAGGAATATGCGACTGCCTCCACGACGTGGCTACGTAGCTTTTTCATGTATTGGCGGCTTCAAACGAAACATTTCCATCAACAGCGTGGCCGGCCAGTCGGCGACTTCAAACGAATCATTTCCAACAACAGCGTGGCCAGCCAGTCGGCGACTTCAAACGAATCATTTCCAACAACAGCATGGCCGGCCAGTCGGCGACTTCAAATGAATCATCTCCAACAATAACAAAGACAGCCAGTGAATTTTCGCTAATGATAAATCCTTTTCTCAACGAATGCATTTTTTCTTCTGAAGACCAACTATTTAAAAGTCTTGCATAAACCACAGCGATTTCTGTGAACCCAGTTCCCAAAAAGATTAACTAAAAAAAAAAAAAAAAAAAAAAAAGATTATTATACTTTTTTGAATTCGTGTATATATGTTTGTAAATACAAATGATTTAATTAACAGGCATAGCTATGTTTTTTTTCATTGTATTGGCGTTTGGAATTCGGGCATTCGGATTTTTAATGTAAAAAACCTGGACAACTGAATTTCCTACAATTTGTTTTGTTTTTTATACGTCGTATTTCATTTAATTTAAATTATTAATTACATGTTTTTCGCATTTATTTCATAGACAAAAACTTTATGGAGATAACAAAAAAGAAAACAGGTTCCAAAATGGATTAATTTGCAGTTTAAGCCTCCACAAACCAATTGTAATTAAAATTTCCTGAAAATTTCCATTCCGGTGTAAATTTTCATATTTATTTCGAAAATAACAGTAAAAGTTTGCGGATATCTACCATTTTGAGGTTATCGACAATAAAGTTTCATAAAAATGTTTTGAATCTGTGGGTGTGTTTCTGTGTGTGTATGGCCTACACTAGTTCAGTGGTAAAAATGGTGGCGTGTTTGTTTTGAGGCATCAGAATTGAATTCAAATTAATCGTTTGAAGATTCTAAAGCTACACAATTGTGTCAGTAAATTCGCACACTTACTACCATTTATATATAGCAGTGTTATTTGCAAACATTTAAAATTTTATCCCTACTCCGTACGCTGGGGGAGGTAGAAATTTTGCATCTGTCAATTTGGTGAAGCTCTCCACTACGATTTTTTTTTTAAATTACTGTTTTAATCTACCTCATTGGTTTCATTAAATAAGGTAAAATTTGCCTTGTCATTTAAATAATTATGTATCCACAGGTGACAAATTGGTATTAGAGTCCAGGTAAGGGTCATAATTTTAATATAGCTCCTCACTTCGAAGTTTGGCGCAACACATTTTTAACATTTCTGTCATGAAAGCGAGTAAAATTTATAAATATCATTTTACTGTTCTAAGGGAAATAATAATCAGAAAAGAGTGATCTCCCTTGGGTGCGTGTCTCAGGCCAAAGAGAGCATTTCGAATCGAGGAACTTGTTACAAGATTTGAAAGAGTGAATTTCATCTTCGCTCTGTATTATTGTTGTGTGGGAATTCAAATACGAGAAACAATTTCAGGTTTGTCTTGTTGTTTATATTTACAGAACAGAATAATAACAACATAATTCTGAGCATTTTTTCATGCCCTTCTGTGTGGGTGATTATCTATCATTAATAAGAAGTGACTGCTAATTATGATATGAAATTTGTGTGATTGAGTGAATTGCCCAGTGTAGAGGTATCATTATTATTATCATAAATAAATAAAATAGAAAATAATAATAAATAAAATTAAAAAAATAACATCAAAACATTGTATAAATTAAATAAAAAATAACAAATACTCCCAGCATGCAACAAAAACTATTGCTGTCGGAGATACGGACATCAGGCCAAAAGACGTTAAATTGAATCTCTTCACCACGAACCTTGGTACGGGCAACACGTATCCGACTTCTGTCTGTGATATGGCTTGTAATACTACGGAGTGACTTCTCCGTTTTTTTTTTTTCACCTGTACCATAAAACAATTGTAACCTAAAAAAAAAATACACACACCAATACACAAAAATATAAATAAAGTGTATAAAATGAACATATATTTTGCCATGCTTTTCCTGTTATTTATGTACGTTTTGTTTACTGTCAAATATGCTTTATCTCCGTGAACACAAGACTAATTTCTGCTGCTATGATGTGAGTGAATCGACCCAGCTACATTTTGGTGACCACCGCTGTGTATAAGTAAAACAACTCATTCACCCACACCAGAAAGAATAGCTGTACAATGTTTTGCAAAAAGTTTTTTTTTTCATTTGCTTTTTACTGATGCAGCAATCTCTCTCTCTCACACACACACACACACACACACACACACACACACACACACACATATATATATATATATATATATATATATATATATATGATAGGTAGATAAGAGAGAGATGTACATGTATATCGTTGGATTAAAATACCAGAAAGAATTTAATGCTTTTAAAAGTGATTCAATAATTGGACGTGTTTTTTTAAATACTTTCTTTTGTACAGCGATGCTTCTCAATTTGTGTGGGGAGAAAGACAGAGAGAGAAGGAAGACGCACACACAAACAGAGAACGATATATATATATATATATATATATATATATATATATATATATATAGGATGCACGCACAGACAAACTGATATGTCCCGAAAGGGATATATTTGAACGAAGTAGCTAAGTGGTTTTGGTTACTATAACCAAGTCGAATACGGTAGCAGTAATCGACTGGTACGCGTCGTAGGTAGAAGTGTAGATCAATGGCGTAGTCCAATGGGCGTCGTTATAGACTTAGCTTTCAGACTAAGGCTCTTGACTCTGTCGTACCTACACGTCCGTCGGTATTTATGACGGACACCGGCCAATTATATTCCAGTGAGGGGGAACACAGGTGTATGCATATTCCATTATGTAACAAACGAAGGAAGAGAGATAGATAGAGATATATGTATAGAGAGAAGACGCATACAGACAGGCAAGGAAGAGAGAAAGAAGAAGACACACACACACACAGACGGATGAAGAGAGAGATAGAGAGAGAAGACACACAGACAGACGGAGAAAGACAAAGAGAAAGAGGCATACAGACGGTCGAAAACAGAGTGAGAGGACACACACACACTTACACACGCACACATACAGACGAAAACAAAGATAGAGTAAAACAGACACAGAAAAAATTTTTAAAAAAATGTCTGGCAATTTTCTTAAAATCATGAAGCTTCTCGAAATAACCTACCAAAAATCTTTAATGTTACCCGGACGACCTCGTTGCGGTTGTCATCGGTGCAAATATAAATACCGGCGTCTTGCGAGATATCCGGCTGCCGGATGCGGAAGTGAAAGTCTCTGCCGAGTGAGAATATCCAGTGAGACTGGCGGGCGAACTTTGTGATGTTGACCGTGCCGTTCGAACAGGAAACACACGCTGCTAATACAGATCCATCACGTGACCATCTGTATGTGGCCGACTCGTTACGTAGGGGGTCGAGTGGACACACCAAATCGATATAAGGATCACCGACCATCGCTTCACGTGTCATCTGGTTTACTCCTAGCGATCAAAGAAAACAATATCGATTTTAAGAGAAAGAAGGAAGAGATAAAAAGCAAATCAAGTCGACTGAGGGCATCACAAAAAAAAAAAAAAACAAACAAAAAAAAAACAAAAAACAATCAGACGTAAAAATATCACCAGCATCAGTAAACATTTGAAACAGAAAAACAATTTAAGTAAATCTTAACTGTTTAAGAATATCCTGGAAAAGTAAAATGACCCAGGGAAGTCGAACGTGAAGAAAGTTGTAAGAATACCAAGTTATTGTCTAAAAAAAAAAAAAAGATTTTAGAAGGCTATAAAAATTAACAAGTACCAACTAAGACAAGCAAAAGCCCCCACCCCAAAAATAAATGAATGAGCATTTTTTAAAATACCAAAACAAATAACAATAATCAAACGGAAAAGAACGGAAAAAAAGGAAAGAAAAAAAAATGAAAAGTGCAAAAAATCAAAACAGAATAAAACCACAAAAACCAAAAAAAGAAACAAAAAAAGAAAAAAAAGAAAAAAAAGAAACAAAGAACAAAACAAAAAACACCCCCCCCAAAAAAGCAAAAGCACCTATAAAAAAAAAAAAAAAAAAAAATACGCAGAAAAAAATTTAAAAAACACAACGGCAAAGAACAAACAAAATGAACAAAGTCGTCAGAGTTAGGATAATTTTAGTGAAATTTTAGAATGTAATCAGTCGGAAGACAGTGTTCCAAAAAACGTTTAGGACTATATATATATATATATATATATATATTCGACGAAAAGAGCCAGATTAACAACCGTACCACAAAACCATTTCGTATGGAGCTGCTAATGCCTCTCACGCTCCCGAAATGTAATTCTTGCTAAACAAAGAGAATTATCACCGAGCCAACAAAACTACGAGGGTCATTCAATAAATAAGGTGAATTTTTCGGTATAAAGACTTCTAATACAGATAGAAGCTTACTTTTTTCATTTTTTTTGTTTAGTTTTACTTCTTTTTCACATGGATTTAATTTCTTTTGCAGATTAAAAAAAAACTTTGAGAGTTTTGCCGATTAACAAAGATAGCCGACCAAGAAGCATGCTCCAGGATTGAACAGCGGTCAATTATTAAGTTTTTGGTTCCTGAAGGGTGCAAACCAGTTGAAATTCATAGGAGAATGTCAACTGTGTATGGTGCCACATGTTTCAGCCAAAAAATGTCTACAAGTGGACTAAATTGTTTAAAGAAGGACGGAGCAGTGTTGGGGATGAAGACAGGCCTGGGAGGCCTACAGAAGTGAGATCTCTTGAGGTGATCGAATCAGTCAATGACCTTATTCAGTCTGACAGAAGAACTACTGTGAACTGCTGAGGCAGGCCAAGAAAGACATAAAGAACAAACGCAGGGGTCATCAGTCAGAAGAAGTCATCTTGCATCATGACAACGCAAGGCCCCACACAGCAGCCCAAACGGTGCAGACCATCAACGAGCTGGGCTGGGAACTGTTCCCTCACCCCCCCTTACAGCCCAGACCTTGCCCCTTCAGACTTTCACCTGTTTGGTCCCTTGAAAGCGTTCACGAGAGGCACGAAGTTTAAAAGTGAAGATGAAGTCAAAAGTGTTGTGAGCGATTGGCTGAGACATCAGTCCAAAGATTTTTACGCTGAGGGAATACGGAAGCTTGTGCACAGATGGGAAAAGTGTATGACAGTGCTGGGAGACTACGTTGAAAAATAAGAAAAGTAAGTTTCTATCTGTATTAGAAGTCCTTATACCGAAAAATTCACCTTATTTATTGAATGACCCTCGTATTATAAGAGGCTAGCTCCCATTATACAAATATTCATCTTTCTAGGTGTTCTATAGTATTCCTCCTTCACAGTTTCTTTCAATAAAATATTGTACAACATATTTCTTGTGAGGTATATCATTTGTTTTTCTTTGACTACCAACAACTTTCTTCCGTGCTGATAAGTGCAATATGAAGTTAAAACAATAGTTTACTTTCTTCGCGGACATAATATACACAGAGTCAAACAATGACATCTTTTTTTTTGTTTTAAAAGAACAATTTTTAATGTCAGATCTCTTTACGACATCGGCGACCATGGATCTTTACACATTCTATTTCTTCATCTGTGAATCGACAGGACTTTTGGAGAAATATAGTAGAGAGTGGTTTCATCGTATTCCTTCCTTCTGAAACAGGTTGCAGTTGGCGAGGGCAGTCTACCCTACTATTTAAAACATTGCTTATATAAGCTTGCGATCGGCGTTTCCTTACATCCGGCTAAGTGACATTTGATCCCGAAAGTTTTCATTCATTATTATTTTTCTCTATTTCCTTTCTGTTAGCGGATATCTGTTTTAAAGATTGTACTTTTCAGCTTTAAAACACCAAACATTTCAAACTCTGATAAAATCATTTAGGGTCTACTTGACTTCGTGTATGTTCTAATTACTTCCAAGCCGAGTCCTATTGTGTCCCACTACTGACAGGGGTCATTTGAGCAGGACAAACAAAAAAGCTGTTTGAGAATTTTATGAGCAAAAAATATAGAACCATATCACAACTGACGCAGTGCTAGACGTCATCAAACAAGAAACGGGCCCGTTGGAAGACTTTATAGCCACCGCCAAGAAGAGAAAATTGGAATGGTATGGCTTCATCACAAGATTCATCATTCTACAGCAGTGGTTCTCAACCGGGGTCTACATGGACCCTAGAGGTCCATGTAATATTTCCGGGGGTCCACAAGCAAAACACAATTGTTGTGTTAATTAAAAATAGTATATATAATTATTATTATAATTATAGTAGAATATTTTATTTGTATTAAATTAGTTTTCATTTAAAAATAAAGCTTAATCGTATACTATTTCTTTGATAATTAAAACCTTAATATTTATATTAGTGAAGAATAGAAAATTGTTCTTATGTCCAATAGCTATGAAGGGGTCCACCAAGATAAAAAGAAGGGGAAAGGGGTCCATGGGTAAAAAAAGGTTGAGAACCACTGTTCTACAGGGTACCACCTTAGGCAACAGAAGGTAACGCAGCCGAGATATATGGAGAAAGCTGGTCAGATCCCCAGTTGCGCAGAGACAGAGGTGCTTTGATGAAGACAATGTCGATGTTATTTTTTTGTAAACATCTTGCTGCTTGCTCTTATTCTGAAAAGAATGATTATCGTGTGCTGAGCCAAGCAAATTATTTGAAGAAACAAACAAAGATGACAACAGAGTGCATTCTTGGAGAGCTTTTGAGGGGGTGACTAGAAAATACTTTACTATTGCAGAATGAACGAAAAGGAAAGAAAAACATAGGGCAACGTTCGTGTCCTTGGATAGGGTCATGAAAAAAAAAACAAAAAACAATTACTTACTTGTTCCGCGGGAAAACGCCACAATCAGAAAGGACAGCACAAAGTGAAGTTTATTTCGAATTGCGTACAGATCGAACATTCGGAGTCGCTCAGGGAAAATCTTTAAAAAGAACAGAAAAAAAAAACTGTATTAATCTTTATATTCCGTGGCTAATTTACATTTTACGAGTCCTAGGCCGATAGATTTAATCATGATTTTGTTTTTATTTGTATTGTTAAAGATCACTGAGCAAAATTGATGTTTTTTCGGCTTTGTAGGTCATTTAAAACCGAAATATAATTTGGATTATAAGAATAATATTTTGGGGATATCTATCTATCTATCTATCTATCTATCTATCTATCTATCTTGGTCTCTTCATGTCTATCTGTCTCTCCTGGTTTCTTCATATCTATCTATCTATCTATCTATCTATCTTGGTCTCTTCATGTCTATCTGTCTCTCCTGGTTTCTTCATATCTATCTATCTATCTATCTATCTATCTATCTATCTATCTATTGGTCTCTTCATGTCTATCTGTCTCTCCTGGTTTCCTGGTTTCTATCTATCTATCTATCTATCTATCTATCTATCTATCTATCTATCTTGGTCTCTTCATGTCTATCTGTCTCTCCTGGTTTCTTCATATCTATCTATCTATCTATCTATCTATCTATCTATCTATCTATCTATCTTGGTCTCTTCATGTCTATCTGTCTCTCCTGGTTTCTTCATATCTATCTATCTATCTATCTATCATCTATCTATCTATCTATCTGTCTTCATGTCTATCTGTCTCTCCTGGTTTCTTATCTATCTATCTATCTATATCTATCTATCTATCTATCTATCTATCTACCCTTGGTCTCTTCATCCATCTATCTATCTCATCTTGGTCTCTTCATGTCTATCTATCTATCTATCTGTCTATCTTGGTCTCTTCATGTCTATCTATCTATCTATCTATCTATCTGTCTATCTTGGTCTCTTCATGTCTATCTATCTATCTATGTTGGTCTCTTCATGTCTATCTATCTATCTATCTATCTATCTATCTATCTATCTATCTATCTATCTAGGTCTCTTCATGTCTATCTGTCTCTCTTGGTTTCTTCATATCTATCTATCTATCTATCTATCTATCTATCTATCTATCCATCATCTACCTTGGTCTCTTCACATCCATCATCTATCTATCTATCTATCTATCTATCTTGGTCCCTTCCATGTCCATCCATCCATCTATCTATCTTGGTCTCTTCATGTCCATCCATCTATCTATCTATTCATCTATCCATCCATCTATCTTGGTCTCTTCATGTCATATCCATCTATCTATCTATCTATCTATCTATCTTGGTCTCTTCATGTCCATCTATCTATCTATCTATCTTGGTCTCTTCATGTCTATCTATCTATCTTCACATCTATCTATCTATCTATCTTCTTATCTATCTATCTATCTATCTATCTATCTATCTATCTATCTATCTTGGTCTATCATGTTCATCTGTCTCCTGGTTTCTTCATATCTATCTATCTATCTATCTATCTATCTATCTATCTATCTATCTATCTATCTATCTATCTTGGTCTCTTCATGTTCATCTATCTATCTATCATTGTCTCTTCATCTATCTATCTATCTATCATGGTCTCTTCTTCACATCCATCTATCTATCTATCTTGGTCTATCTTCATCATGTATCATCTATCTATCTATCTATCTTGGTCTCTTCATGTCTATCTATCTATCATGGTCTCTTCATATCTATCTATCTATCTTGGTCGCTTCATGTCTATCTATCTATCTATCTATCTTGGTCTCTTCATATCTATCTATCTATCTGTTTATCTTGGTCTCTTCATGTCTATCTATCTATCTATCTATCTTGGTCTCTTCATGTCTATCTATCTATCTATCTTGGTCTCTTCATGTCTATCTATCTATCTATCTATCTTGGTCTCTTCATGTCTATCTATCTATCTATCTATCTATCTATCTATCTATCTATCTTGGTCTCTTCATGTCTATCTATCTATCTATCTATCTATTTATCTATCTATCTATCTATCTATCTTGGTCTCTTCATGTCTATCTATCTATCTATCTATCTATCTATCTATCTATCTATCTATCTATCTATCTCAGTATATATTGGTTTTGTTTGTTCTGTTTTACGGCATATCAACCTCAATGGGTTATTTAATGCCGACGAGATTTTTATTGCTGGTAATATTTTACCAAAAATGAATTGTTGGCAATAATTTTTCCTTCAAAAAATTCATTTCTGGCCTTAAAACCTATTTTTATACTTTCATAGTGTTCTAACCCCAGTTTGAGGGTTAACTGTTTGCCCATAGTTGGGACCCTAACACCTCGGGTTAAGGTGGACCTGAGAACGCCAGCAATTAAGAGGTGGTTTCTCGCTCCTCAAAACCTCCTGACTAGATGCCTTTCTGTCGGATGTAGTTTATCGTCATACCCAGGATGTTGAGTCATTAGTAATTTCCGTTGTAATGACTAATTACTAAGCATACGCGGCAGTCAATAGTAAATTTGGAATTCACTAACATTCCTTAGTCTTTGTACTACAATGGCAGCGTACACATTCGATGAAAGAAAAAATGCTATTCTCTATGACAGCACAAACCAGCATACAGCAAAAATAACATTGTTCTACCCCCCCCCCCCACTCGCCATATCCAACCGATCTTGCATCAACCGATTATTACTTTTTTCGATCGCTCCAAAACGCTTTGATGGGAGAAAGCTTACTCTAATGAAGACCAGATTCAAGATTACATGGAAAAACATTTCACATTAAAATATGAAGTTTGTTACTCGAAATTTAACGAAGCTCTCACTGATAAGTCCCAAGAAGACATTGCATATAATAGCGAATCTATGACTGAATAAAATGTAATTATATTTTATGTTTTGAAGAGTAAAGTTAATAAACAAGACAATTGATTACTTGCACTATTTACATTATTCGGACTGTTATCATGATTTTCATTGCCATATTCACAACGTTTCGGCCTCTTTATCTCTGAGATAAGGTATTATGATTATTTACATTATTTACTTTATTCGGACTGTTAACATCATCTTCATTGTCATATTCACAACGTATCGGCATCTATATATCTGAGATGAGGTATTATGACTACTTGCATTATTTACATTATTCAGACTGTTAGTTTCATCTTCATTGTCATATTCACAAAGTTTCGGCCGTTTCTACGCTCCGGACTATTTCAGGTGATTGCCCTCAAAGATACATAGCCTAGTTGGATAAAGACGTTGCTTAGATCCAGTGACTAGACCCAAAGAGTTGCGAGTTCAATACCAGGCCACAGCAGTGGTGAGCCAAAACTTGGAGAATTGAGTTAAAGAGGCCGATATAGACAGATATTAAAACAATTGATAACTAAACCTAATCATTTTTTTTTTTAATTTCTTATCACAACTATTTCTGGTCTGTCTATAATTCGTTTTTCTGAATCAGAGAAGGCCAAGTGAAAGAAATATCTTTAACCAAGAATCGTGCTCTCGGCATACCCAGTAACGTGCAGAAGGAGGGGGCAGAGGTGCGACGACATCCTGGTATCCATATCGAGAGGGCATCTAATGAAAGCTGATGTGAATGTGGGTCCTTGTTTTGATAAACGAAACGGAAGAAAGACCTCTACCCTACTTGAGTCTTAGAGGCACACAATCAAGGAGTTGGCCTCAGGCATCATCAAACCTCTGCACGTCAGTGGGCATACATTGGACAGTAGCCTTTTTATTTTACTCATTTCACCTCAAACAAGGCAATAAAGCCACTAAGACGCAAGATTACTGATAGTGTAGAAAACCGAGAAAACCTTGCTGAGGTCAAAGAACAAAAGGATTTACGGAAACAGAATATGACCATTGAGGTTGCATTTAAGAATTTTGAAGAATACGTCACAAAGAACTGTTGGAATTGCTCGTTAACCTTGACATATTTAAGAAGGATACTAGAATAGTGAATAACCTGTACTGACAGCAAACCGACTTCATACAGATAGAAAATTAATTCAGTAAATATACAAAAATAGAAAAGGGCGTAAGACAAGGATGTGTCGTCTCGTCGGACTTTTTCAATTTATATAGTAAAGCGATAATGAGTGAATTAAAAGTGATATTTAGCTACCCCCCCACCCACGAGGGTTATATGTGGCACAAGGCCGGGTTTAACGTGGGATCTCCGAGCCCGTAGGCTCGGCCAAAAATGTATCCCTCTTTGAACCCGCATAAACGAGTTCAGTGGCAGTCAACCACCCCGAACGAGACTCTGCCCTTCGGCGGAGCCTCGTCCGGGTTCCTCGCCGCCCGAAGGCAGAGAGTTAGACTGTTAGCCAAGTTAAGTCTTACTAAGATTCATTATTGACGCCTACAATCATAAGATATGCAGATGACACAGTGGCTGATAGCAGACACAGAAAGTAAACAACAGGAACTCCTGCATAAAGTAATGAAGAAAAACGAGAAGAAAGGACTAAACATCAATTGCAAGAAGATTGAATGCACGGTTGCTAACAAAAGAAACAGCATAATATGTAAATCATAAATTGGAGATACCAAAATCAAATAAGTACAACAATTTAAATATCTGGGAAGTGTTTTAACAGAGGGCGCAAAGTGCGATACTGAAATTCGAAAGTACATTGGGATAGCGAAAGATGTTTTTCAAAAGCTAAGCAGAATATTAAGAAACAGAAATTTCGTTATAAACAAAGAAAAAGGTACTGAAGTATTGTAATGTCAGTCCTCCAATATGGCAGTGAATATTGGACAATGTCCTCAAAGATGAAGAAGAGACTTGAAACAACAGAAATATGGTTCTATAGAAGGATGCCGAGAATACGATAGACTGAACATGTGAGCAATGAGGAAGTTTTGGAAGCAATGGAAACAGAACATATACATATAATTAGAATCAAAAAGAGGTCGATGAAATTTCTACGGCGCATAATGAGGAAATAAGGCTTAGGAAATTTGATACTCACAGGATACACTTTTTCTTTTGTTTTCTACAGCGTATCAACGCCGTTTTCAGGTTACACAGTGCCAGGAAATATTTTAAAATTGTAAAAATTTTTTGAGGAGTGAGGGAGATAATGGTGGTATCCCTCATACAAGTATTTCTAAATGACTCATACCTAGGGTAGGAGAGGTGGATTCATACTTTTCCCCTAGGGTGTTTGCGTGTAAGTGAATATAACGGACCCAACTGGAGTTGAAACTCGATTCTCTGATTAACAATTCCCAGTCATTATCCATTACACCATCCGCACCTCCGAGTTTATAGCACCTAGTATTCCCAAGCGGTTAACCATCTAGGTACTGGCCATGCTCGATGTTGCTTAACTTCGGTAATCGTACGGTAACTCGACTCTCTGATTAACGATTCCGAGCCATTATCCATTACACCAGCCGCACATCCACGCTTACAGTACCTGGTATTCCGAAGCGGTTACCCATCTAGGTACTGGCCAGGTTCGACGTTGCTTAACTTCGATGATCATACGGGAATCAGTGTTTCAACATTATAAGCCCTTGAATGTAAGAGAGACAAAAACAATGTAAGAGAGGAAAACAACGCATAACCTACCTATCGAGCTTGTACAAATGGATGGCAGAACAGGTTTTAGGAGAAATAACAAAAAGACAAAATTTATTAAGGGCTACTAAGGACAGGAAATTGTGGAGAGCCATGATCGCCATTACGATAGAGCTTACGCTTACACTTTGCAATTTTAACAGTAAAATTATGAGATCTAGCTACTAATCTAGTCGTACGTTTAAATTCATCAAGTCGTGAAAGAAGAGCTAATTCGAACAATTACCATGAACATACAGGGTGCGGGAGAAATACCTCCCACATAGAGGAAGACACCATTGCCACTAATGTCTTACCATTATGTGGGAGGTATTTCTGCCGAAGCCTGTATTTATAGAAAAGGGACATGAAAACTAGGTTATAGCGATGGGAAAGTGATTGAAACCAATATGCCATTGTAGATAATTCGGATTTTGTTCAGAATCTTAAGATCAAGAAGCGCCAGACCAGATGCGGCAACAAAATTCAATGCACATACCAATGGTAGACTTATTACAGCTGTAAAACGGATTCAGGCGAGAAAAAATGCTTAGCCCAACAGTGAACAAACTTTACGGGCTAGCCATATGGGAAATCAGCCACAATGAAGTGAATTGGACGGCTTCATCTGAAAAACGGTCGAAAATAACAACGAAGATTGGTTTGGTTTGGTGCCTTTTACGGCATATCAAACTCAATGGGTTATTTAATGTCGACAAGTTTTTTGTCTGGTTTGGTTTGGTTTGTTTCGTTTTACGGCATATCAACCTTAATGGATTATTTAATGCCGACAAGAATTTTGCTCTGGTTTAGTTCGGTTTGTTTCGCTTTACGGCATATCAACCTTAATGGGTTATTTAATGCCGACAAGATTTTTATTGCTGGTAATATATTTTCCAAAAAATGTATTGCTGATAATATTTTTTTCTTCAAAAATGTATTTCTGGTATTAAAACCTATTTTTACACTTTCATAGTGTTTTGACCCCAGTTTGGGAGGGGGTCAACTATTTGCCCACAGCTGGGACCCTAACAGGTACTACCACCCTGGGTCAGGGTGAACCTGGGAACAACAATAATTAAGAAGTGGTTTTACGCCCCTCAAAACCCTCTTCAAAAAGGAGAAAAAGCCTAAGCAAAAAGGGAAAAAGAAAATTAGGGCTTGCGTATTTTCGCAGAGACAACAACAGTTTAAATGATATGACAGATTGCAGGGAAGATTAGGTTCAAGTCTTTATTTAAAAAAATAGCATGAAATATGTACTATGACAGATTGCAGGGAAGATTAGGTTCAAGTCTTTATTTAAAAAAATAGCATGAAATATGTACTATGAGAGTTAAAATTTGGTTATAACACCATCGCCTAAGCCGCCAAATCGAGCTTCTTTTCATTTACAAGTGACAGGCTGAAAAATGTACCATGTCCTGAAGGGACATGGCTGATTATGGTTCTCCACAACTTCCTATCAGTTGTAGCTACCTAATCCCCATTCCCGTCATCCATTCACACAATCTGGGCAAATAGCTGACCCGCTGCATTCGACTTCGATATGTCCTGTGTATCAAATTCTTGAAGAGTTCCTTCCGCCTTATGTCTCCAAGAAATTCCAGTTGACCCTTTCTGATTCTAAGTCTCCTTTTTGTTTTCGTTTTCCTTAAAACCTCTGCATTACTTACACGCACTGTCCATTGTATTCTCAGCAGGTTTCTGTAGAACGACATTTTTGTTGCTTCAAGTCACTTCATCTGTGATGAGATTATTCAGCATTCGTTGCCATATAGGAGGAGTGATATTGCATAACACTTCAGCACTTTTTTCTTTTACATGTATTATTTACATTACTCGGACTGTTATCATCATATTCATTGCCATATTCACACCGTTTCGGCC